TTTGGTCGTGAGATTCAAAATATTGTAACACGAAAATTATTGTTGCACTTCTGAGCATAACTTTCAAATTTAAAAAACCTATGAAAAGAAAATTTGAGACAAATTTTTTTATATATATTGATAGACTCCCTTTAAAGCTGAATTGAATGGTGGTAAGTTTTTTAAAAATCTAATGTGTGGATCACATAATATTTCAAAAATTTTAACTTTTGAGTATAGATGATCCGCACTGTAGTAATAAAATGTGATATTTTGAATTTTCATTTTAAACCAATGAGCAACGAGCATAATGGACACTGTTGCCCATAATTTCAAGCTGGCTTTAAAGTTGTGTTTGACTATCAATTGTCAAACCAATCAAAATTAGATAATTTGAAATAAGATCAACAAAAATTTGGCCAATGAAATAGTTGTTTTTGTGATCTGCAGCAGTGTTTTCCGCCCACATGATGAAATGCACAATTAATATCATCCATTATAGAGGGAGAGAGATAGATAGATATTTCAAATAATAAAAAATTGGATAAATGTTAGCCTGTAATAGAGGAGAATCTGGTATAGAAAGATCCATCATTATTATTAATATTAATGTAATATTAATATATGAATTGAGTTTCTGGAAGCACAATTTGGCTTGCTGTGAATGTCCTACTCATTCTTGACAATAATGACACAAATGCTCACTATTTTTTTCTATTATTTTATTAACAGGTTGGGCCCTGGTGATGGTGGAGTAGATCTTCATGGAGGGTATAAAAGATACCTCATTTTAATACAATGTAAGAATAAATTGAGTATTGGTAAGTTATTTTTTTTATCTACTGTTGTTCTCACACACATTTATATAATTATTATATTTTTTTTTATTATAAGGAGTGGGTGCTGTGTGCAATTTGGAGGCAGTGTTATCTAGATATGTCCTCAAAATACTTTAGGAGTTCTAGTACACCATCTAAAAAAATTTTTACCCTCCAAACAAGAGCTGCATCTGTATATAATGTTATCATGTCTGACAAACACAATATTTATACAGATATAAATAAGTTGATTGACTACCCATGATGCTCTAAAAATTTTCTTCATTATATTATCATTGCTTTATTATTATATATAGCAATAATTGTTACAATTAAATAAATTAGATCTTTGATCTATAAGCAACTTACTACCACTATCTTTTTAATGATTCATTTAATGTACATATATAGCAATATTTATTGCAATTAAATAAATTATATCTTTTGATTTATAAGCAACTTACTAACATTAACTTTTTAATGATTTGTTTAATGTACATATTGTTATGTAAAAATAACCAATTATCATTATTTATCCTCATTTGAAAATGAAGGTTTATAAAAAATAATTCAATTTTGGGAATTTTGAATGGTTTAAAATCCCACGATAAGATAGAAAGCTAAACTGTACTTTTATGCAGAAATAACAAATGGTTATGTATATCATTTTTATTCTGAAAATTCGATACCATCCTCAATCAACAAAGAAATCTCCTATTAGAAGTCTCTCAATTCTTGAATGAGTTAAAATTCCACAATAAGGTAGAAAGTTGAACTGTATTCTATTGTAGAAATGACTGATGGTTACATATAATATATCAAAGGCTCATCACTTTTGTACTGAAATTTATGTAACCATTGTTTGGAATTTTACAAAAAAGTATTATCTATAATGTAAAACCCTATATTAGAAAAGTTAATAATAATTTATTATTCCACATTTACTAATGGTCACCCATGATTTTTCATAGTGATATTTTAAAAACCGTGAAAATATTAAATGCAAATCGTTTTACAACTTTTATTATTAATTATTACTATTGTATTATTATTTATGCAAAAAAGTGAAGACTTTAAAATTTAAAAGTTACATTATTAAAACTACAATTATTAAAAAGAGGAAATTTCTTTTTGTATCATCAGAAGAAAATTCTGGTGTAGCATTAACAGTATTTAAAAAATTATTTATTGGAATTGAATCCCCAAGAATTGATTTTGAAGCATGGATCAAAGTATACATAGCAGCAAGATGTTGTTTTTCATTTACTTCTTTATATGCACGAATACCTTGTATGCTTTATGACCTGTTGTTCAATTAATTTGGAATTCGTAATCATATCAAGTGGCATAATATAATTATAATTCTTGCGAAATTCTTCAAATCTAGTAACCAATTTCGAGTTGATTTTTCAGTATTGCAACAATAGCCTTTTGACGATAAAAATTAAGTTGTTCATAAATTTCAGATGGTGCTTGTTGTGAGGAAATGGTATTTGAAATACTTTGAGGAATAGAATCAACTGGTAAAGTAGAAATCGAAGCCTCGGAAACTTTTTGAGAAAGGAGCAAACTTGAATTAGTAAAAATAAGTTGAAATGTTTGTTTGGGACTTTTTTGCTTTTTATTTGTGTGAATTTGATGCATTTTTATTAAATAAAGAAATGTTTTAAGAAAGGGTGCAAAAGGTAAATTGTAATTTTTTATCATACGCAAAAAAAGTTCTTTTATGTAAAATAAACTTTTTTCATTACGGGCGTTAGTCTCTGTGAGATAAACCAGTTATTTCATGGATATTCCCGTGAAATAAATATCAAATGATGAAAATGGTGATGATAACAATACCATGTAAATGCAATAATATAAACAAGATCAACATCATCTTTGCATCTATTGTCTCCTTTTCCTGGGGTCTTTATAGTTGCTTATTATTAGTTACATTTATCATCATAGGAATAAAAATATAAAAGGAATTTTTTAATGTCTCTATTTATAGTAACCATAAACCATATTATCTATATAATATTATCTTTTTTAAAATAAATGATTTTACTATAAAAGACATACCTTAGTCTGTAAATATTCATAATAATGTAATTATTTGGACATGTATTTTTACTTTTGCTTGCAATAGTCGCCAAACAAAATTTTAAATATATGAATATAAGCATATAAAGGCAAATCTCAAATTTGATGGTTGCTATACAACAAGGGTATCGAACGAGACATATGCGCTGATTTTGTTTGAACCCCAAAATCCGGTACGGTGTGATGATAACGTTATGAATACTTTATACTAGCAAAAATTTAAGGTGGGCCATTGATTTGACGGGCTATCGAATAGTAAAATAGTTTTTTTAGCGGAACAAATAAATTTTTTGGAGGTTAATTATCATTCTATTGACCAGTTTACACATCATGTTTAACGTGTTTAACATCGAGACACAATGGTATAAGGTTTGAAAAAAGGATCCAAAAAACCAAATCGGCTGATATGATAATACTAGATGCTGTTTGGGCATATCCTAAAAACAATTAGACACCCATTCATAATTATGCAGTGTGCATGACATGTGCAGCCATGCGTATCAAAAATTATTATGCATAATAATAATGAACATTAATATAAAAACACCCGGTAAATGAGATATTATTATTATAATTATAATTACCGAGACGCACTGTGTAATAACAGTTTTTTATTTTATCAGCTATACAGTGAATAATCATGACTAGTGAAGAATAATCTAAAACAATAATTCGTGATTCTTTAAATCTTGAGAATTCTATTACACAATTGGAAATTTTAAATGAAACGAACATTGTGAGACAACTACTGCATCAATTATGGCTCATTCAATAGCTTATAACAAAGGATTTTATCGACATTATTTTAACAAGGAACAGTTTTGCCGTTGTTTTTCATTAAACTAATTAGAAATAAAATCCCACTTTTCTATGATAATTGTCTCGAACCTTGAGCTTTTAACTTCTGTTATTTGATAAATAAAGATTGTGTGCTATCATGTGATCTCGTAATAATATTATAAGCCATATCAAAGGATGCAGCAAGTATTTTAAGCAAAATTATATCGAATTTTTGAAACGCATATCCATTGAAACAGATAAACAAAAAAAAATTTCAAATGGTAAAGGAGATTCACCACATTCTATACCAGGACAATAATAAAAAAATGGTTCGATATTCTTGTTATTGTGAATTTTAACCGAAATCGTGTAACATTACTGATACTGTAGTATTTTTTAGGTTTGCTCCATAAATAAAGAGCACGGGTTTAAGGGATTTATAATTCCTTATTGACCACTTAACATTGCTTTGAAGGTCGCTACCGTGTTAAGAAGAGCTTTTGATTAATATTCATCCAATTAAAATTCCCAAAAATTTGAATTATTTCCAATTATGGTAATTTTATTTTTTGATATACAAGATCTGCAATAATTGTTCCAATTTTTTTATTTAAAAAATTCACCAATGGTATTTTAGGGATTATTTAGGAATTATTTAAATGTATTAGTATCCTTACATTTACAACATTTAGAGTAAAAAAAACAATTTCATTGAAAAATTTTTGAGCAAAATAATAATTGTTTTCATGTATTTATACTAGATGGAAAAATAGAAAAGACCGATATTAATATAGATTTTGCCGGTCTTTAATCTAATTTTATATAGATAGATTTTATTTATTTTAAAACATCCTTTAACTAATTATTTATTTGTTATATACACATTTATACATATATTCATTCATATTCATGCATACATAAACATTACACTATAGAAAAAATGTTTAAATCATCATTAATTAAACAAAGAGGAAGAGGTAGTTTAAAAAGAGGCTTAAGTTCAAAAAAGAAACCAAAAGGAAATTCTTCGATTCCTATTATAACAATTATTGAGGCTGAATTTATAATTAATTTACTTGTACGAGAAATTTGTTCAAGAGGTTGGTTGGTTGGTTGTGTATTAATTAATTAAGATTACCAATAAATTTATTAATTATCAATTGATTGTTATCAACATCATCATTGATTAAACATCAATTATATATAAATTCACCAACTCGCTCACACTCTTATCACTTGTTCACGTGACTGTACGATCGCAGGTTTAATCGAAGCCAACATTTATATTTATAAGATATTTAGTCCAGCTAAAACAAAAGAACAATTTGACGAGGTCGGGTATCTTGTAGATTGTATTTTAAGAGGTGATAAAAGGGAATACGAGGAAGAACTTAAATTTCAAGATTTACATAATATCGCTTTGGGAATTAGATGGACACTGGAGAATTGCAATGTACCATTAGTACCATATCAAAATTATAAAGATTTTGTTAGTAATGAACAAGGTAATTTTATCAAGACATTAGTTATAATATAAAATTGTTAAAATAATAAATTTTCTCATTTTTTTTTTTCCATCCATCTCTCACCCACCATCATCTATCTATTCTCCTATTCGTTTAACATCTTTAAGACTGGCAATATGATCCTAAAAAAGGATCATTCAATCAATTCATAGCATCATTATTCAAGTCAAATCAACAAATACTCTTGTCGATATTTGATTTATTCTCTCAACTAATCATCATTTCACCATCAAATCACAACAATAAGATGTTTGTGACAATGAAACTAATCAAATCAGTCTCAATGTGCATAATGAAAGATGAGGTAAACAACAACAACAATAATGCCGGCGACACTAACAACAATGATGTTTTACTAGGATCATCATCACCACCATTATCACCGTTTGAAACTGCTTATAAAAAATGGTTAAAGACTTCAAATAATTTATTACATTTATTTCTTGCGTATTTAAGAGAGATATCTGTTTCACAAAATGAAACAAATCTTGATCCAAAATTGTCATTTTTATTGGATAATTATGTTGAGAACAGAAAAAAATGCTTGTTAAATCCTAATACCGAATATTATTCTTTAGTTGACACTTCCAATAAACAAGATTTGGGTTCGATATTAGTAAAAAAATCATCAAAGGAAGTACTTCCAGATAATCACCAAGTAAATACTGGTCTTAGTAATTTATTATCTTCTATTGCTGGTCCTTCAGTTTCAAGAAAACCTTCAACGATTAAATTTTCAGAACCGATTGCAAAAATCAACAACAATAATAATATTGATAATCAGCAACTAAATCAACAACAATTATCTTCTTCGCCATATGCAAGAAGCAATAATAATTATTATAGTAATAACAATCATAGTAGTAATAATAATAGCAAAATCTCATTGGTCGAGACTTTCAATGCATTAAAACGTCGTACCAGTTTAATGGTTGGTGAGAAATCAATCGAACAAAAATGGTCCGACTTGCAAAATGAAGGAATTGATTTATTATCTGAACCAGCCCTCAAGTTGTTTTTCGTTTTTGATGAAAGGGATGAGTCTCCGACATTATCATCAAATTCATCATTAAATTTGTCACGTAAAAAAACTAACAATAGTAAAAAATCATATAGGTTTGATAATAATGATAATATCAATAATCCAAAAATTGAATATTTATACGATGATAATGATGATGATGGTAATAACAATAATAATACAAATTTATTTTCAACAAGCCATTTGAAAAGAAAAAATTTCAATAACAACAGCAATCCTAACATTCGCCATTCTAATTTCAAACAATCATTTTTATGGGAAGAATTTAAAAATATTGGATTCAAAGATCCAGATGATAATGTTTTAAGTATTGGTTCAACATTAGGCACAAGCATAAGTGAATCATTATCTGATAATAATAACAATTATTTGAGTTACTCATCATCATTTTCTATTGCAAATAACGGCAACAATAACGACAAAAGAGATTTGAAGTTTTTATGTATTAGAATAAAAAGAAACAAAAGAAATAGGCGCAGTAAGAATAATAGTGATAGTAAAGAATTTCAAGAAGCGGTAGAAGGAGAAGATGATTACTTGGTAATTGAAGCAATTGATGAAATATCACCATTTGTTTGGATCGAAAATTTGCAAAATCAAATAGAAAAAATGAGCGAATGGGTGATTTTGGAAACTAAAGTTGGAATAGAATTTAATGAACCGGATTGGATTTTATTAAATGATAAACAAAAGTTTTTAACTGAACTTGAGGAACGATCAACAAATCGTCATAAATTGAATCAGGGGGAAAAAATAGGCAACAATGATGGCAACGGTTTGTTGAGCGAATGGGAGAAACTTAATAATAATAATAATAACAATAATAATAATAATAATAATAATTATAATTCGAGAGTTGGGAGTATTAGAATGTCAATATTAAATGGGCTTAATTTGCCCTGGACAAAATTATTACTAACAAATCGACTTAGTAAATTTAATTCCAGCAATCAAAATCTAACAAATGATAATGGCAATAACAATAATAAAAAATTATTACCAGATAAAAATGTTGAAAAGGATACTGTTGTCGTTGATAATCATAAGGATGATAACAATAAGGGCAATGACAACAACAGCAACAATAATAATAATAACAACAACAATGATAACAATTTTGAGATTATAATCGAAGAAAAGGAAGATTCTAAAGATTTACAAAAAGATGACGACGACGACAATAATGATAAAGATGACTTGTACGACTATTACACAAATGAAAATTACTCTTCGCCATATATCAACAATGATAATGATGATAATGATGATAATGATGGTGATAATGATGATGGAAGTAATAAAGTCGACAAGGACAATAATAATGATCAACAGGAATTTATTATTAATGATGATGATTATGCTATTGATGATAATGAAGCAATTGAAGAAATAGAAAATTACCACAATCAATATAATCAATATCAGTATCCACAACATCGAACACATTCTCCTCCTCTACATCATAAATATGGATATTCTAAACTCCCACAACGTCATCCACGCCCTCAATATCCCAAATATCCACCTCAGTTCCCACCACCTCAATTCCCACCACCTCAGTTCCCACCACCTCAGTTCCCACCACATCAGTTCCCACCTCGATTCCAACCACATCAATTCCCACCACCTCAATTCCCTCAATACTCTCAATACCCTCAATACCACCAATATCCACCACGTCCTAATCAATATTCTGGTCAATATTCTGATAAAGGTAACTATGATAATATTGAGGAAGTGGGAGATGCTGAAGCCGGTGCAAGTGTTGGTGTTGGAATCGGAACAACAAGTACAGCTACTCCTGCAACTACTACCAAAAATACCAAGATTGTAACAGAAGGAGAAAATGAGTCAAGTGGAATAGTGGAGATATCAAATGAAGACGACGAAAGCCCTATTGATTATGAATATCAACCATCAGCTACAGAAGCACCAAAATCGGCAGCAACAGACTCACCTTCTCTTCCTCCTTCTTCTTCAGCATCATCAATAGCAATTGATAATTATTATTATCAATATGAGGATGATAATGATCTTCAATATAATGCCATCTCTTCATCATCGTCAACATCTACAACTGCAAAGAAAATAAGACAACAAAATTATCAACAACCTCCATATGGATATTATTACCCTTCCCCTCCAACATTGCCACCACCGCATCTTGCCAGTAGTGTTCGTAACAGTATTCGCAGTAGTAATAGCAGTAAAAGCGGCAGTATTGGAAGTGGTGGATATGTAGCACAAAGTAGAATGGTCCGACCTCAACTTCTCCCAAGACCAAAAAACCATCAAACATTTTATAAAGGTTATGATCAAACGTACATGCCTACAAATAATCCAACACCAATGTCTGTCGGATATCCTTACAATAACAATATTTATCGACCACCACCACCATCATCAATATCATCAACATCATCCATTCCCATCTTATCTTCAAAAAATAAAGGCAAAAATGTTTATTAATCCTATTTAGGAATCATTTTTAATCAGTTATGTATTTAAAATTTCTATTCATTTATCACGTATATATATATAGTATTATTTTAATTTATATAAATATTTATTCTTTGAAACTACAAAAAAAAAAAATCAAACTCCTTTAACCAATTGGAACAATTCATATTCTTCAATTGAAAAAAAATTATCATCTGTATTCCTAATAGACTCTAAATAGTAACTTTTTTTGCAAGATGAAGTTTTAAAATTAAAATGATCTCCCAATTTCAAATCACCATTCCCAAATTGTGGTCCACTATAATTACTAATTAAAAATGCTTTCTCCGAGAAATCCGGATTAATTCTACTCAATCTAGCAGAATCCCATTTGTTCGGATCGGTGTCCATCGAGAAGATAAAACTGTTGTTGGCTGGTCTCCAAAAGCTTTTATCCTTTATAGATCGATCATGTCCCCAATGTGTTGGATTATATCCACCCAATATTTCATTGGTTCCGCTAACTTTTATGATTAGCAGTGTGTTTGGGATGGTACCACTTTTTAATCGAAAAATTTCCGCGGCAAACCCATCTTCACTTCCACGACATTTCAAAGCGAATTTGTATGGAATTTGCGAATTGTAATAAATAACATGCCGTTGATCTAACCAACTGGAAATTAAAGCTACATGTTTCACTTTTAAAATTTTGGAATCTATCGCTCCTTTTCTCAAAGTAGCAGATGTTGAGATCGAAGAAGGGACGGTCAAAGATGAATTTATTTTCTTTTGTGGTAAAATATAATTCCATAAAATATTTTCATAGAATGCATGATTTGTGAATATTGATCTGTAAGGTTGGACCTTTTCATAAAATTCATTTGCTAAAATATTATTAAATCTTATCAAAGGTAAAATGTTTTCCATCGATTTGCTAACTCGTTGAAAATCTTCAGTGCTCCAATCTTTGATATCTTTTTTTGATAAATCGTTATTTGATTTTGCCCAATCTATCATAAATTCCCAAATTTCAATCTCGTCCATCAAAAAATCTTCGTGTTTCAACAATCCTACAAACAACACATCATCTTCCATGTACAAATGTTTATTTGAATCGAAAAGGATTTGTGGATTTTGGGCAAATAAATTAATGGCAAATGTTTGTAATTCTTCACATATTTTCAGTCTAACCGTCATGGATAAATAATGGATTCCAAAACCCTTTTTCGACCATCTCCGATGATTATTTATTAAATAAGTTTCTATTTCCTTGATAAAATTTGTTAGGAATAATTCATCTGCTGGCACCAATAACTCAAATATATTTGTAATTTCTACCTCATCAAAATTTATTGGTTTATTGTATAAAAATCTAATTGTTTTTTTATGATTGATGCCGTAAAGAAAATTTTTGTTTTAAAAAAAAAAAAAAAAAAAAAAAAATGAAAATAGAAAAATTAGAAATCAAAAAAAAAAAAAACTTACTTTACAATTAATTCAAAATCCTCGGCACTAATATTAGGTTTTTCAAAAATAATTAGTCCATCATTCTTTTCGTCTTTTTTGACCCATTCACTTGAAAATGCACTTGTGAAATATGGTGAATTCTTTTTTAAAATTTCTGAATGTAATTTAAACGTCTTGCTGCTTTTAGGTTCATCACCACCACCACCACCTCCTACTTTGAACAATGTATCATAATCATCATCATCATTACCACTATTACTATTGGAAGCAGGTGATGATGACATTTTTGATTTTCTTGTCACTAACTTTCTTAGTAGAATCCTTATTTTTGTAAAACAATTGACTATTAAAAATCATTTCCATACCTGGCGTTTTTCCGCTGTGCTTAACCGTTTTCCAAATAATTAGATTACTATATATATATATTATATTATGATAAAAAATTCTAAACCCGTCGATCAATTAAAGGGTGGCCGTGGTGCAAATTACTGTAATTTTTTGATCATTTAAAAAACTAAAAATAACTCAATTGTTTTATATATCAAGAGATAAGGAAGTGAGGAGAAAACAACAACAAAACAAAACAAAAATAAATTTGTTGAAATAGAAATGGATTGTTTTACATTATACAAATTATTTAAAACATATGTGAGAATGAGAATTTGTAAAGTTGTAGAAAAGAGGGAAATAAACCTTAAAAGGTTAAATGTTTTGTTGTTGTTGTTTTTGTTGCAAACATTGCTCGAATATTTGCCTCGGAAACATGTATCACCATCACAAGTTAAATCACAACTCTTTAGTAATGGTGATGGTGGTATTGCATTTATTTTGACGTTGCACAAATTTAATCACCAATTTAATTAATTTAAAAGAAATAAGCAGTATAATTACATATGCGTAAGCCGTGACACAACATTTTAAACCAATATTTAAAATTCCAAGTTCCTTCTTATATTATTTGCTGTTTATATAAAGTAGTTAGGTACGATAGATGATAATTGATTGCAGATGATGAGCGTGAATTAATTAACTAATCAATCAATCAATCCGATTGATTGTTAGCGTGAATTAGCAAGAAAAAAAATGAAAAACGAAAATAATGAGGAAACATTTTGTTGTTCTCGTCGTCGTTGCTAATTGATTGATTGAAAATAAATATTATTATTATTTGCTGTGTATTGTTGTAATTCAATTCATACATACGTTACATATCTACATATACTAATCACTCGCTAACTAATTAAACACTTAATTAAACGGTTTTACAATCACAAAAAAAAAAATATTTTTTTTTGCCAACCAACTTTTTTACTTATCTCCTTTTAATTTTTTTTTTTTTTTGCAATTTTTCAAATTTTTATTATTATATTCGCTTTATTCATTATAACAATTTAAAACAATTAAAAAATAAAATTTATTATAAAATTTTTAGACAATTGAATAATCATTATTCTTCCCAGGTTGGAATAAATTATCTTTTTCTAGATACATTATCATTATTATCACATTATCTCATTTTTTATATAATTATATATTGCAAACACACAAATATAAATAAATAGTAAATTAAATTTAAAAAACCTCCAAAAAAAAATTTATTTATTTATTTATTTTATTTTATTTTATTTTATTTTATTTTTATGATTTAATATTTTTAAAAAATAAATTATTATAATATAAAAAAAATGGATGAAAAGCAAATTTTAAATATAAAGATCAGTCCAAATTCCGATAAATTATTAATTAACAATAATGATAATAATAATGATAATAATAATAATAATGTAAAAATTGAATCACAACAAAAAAGTAGTAGTGTTAAGGGCACTAATAAGAGCAATCATAAGAGTATTATTAATAGAAATAATTCAATTTCAAGCATTAAACCAAAAAATAATAATAGTAATAAGTCGAATTCTAATTCTAATGCTAGCTCTAATAATTCCAGTTCTAACGCTAGCTCCAATTCATCAAAAATTGCCAATTCCAAAGAGAAATCATTAGAAATTTCAAAAAAATCAGAGAAAAAATTATCTCAATTAGAAAGGAAAAAAAGTATTGCCAATGAAAATGAAGACTCAACTACAACAACAACAACAGCAGCAGCAACAATTACTACTAATATACCAAAAAAGAATGCCGTAGACACAAATAATAATGGTAGTAATAATAAAAGTTCAAAAAAATCCAAAAATAATAGTACTAACAACAGCAGTAGCAGCAGCAACGGAGATGTTGAATCTTCTACAACTTCAAATTCTTCCTCCTCGGCAGGAAATTTATTGAATCGTAGACAAAATCCTCCGTTGAAACTAAATTTAACAATAAAAAATCGTAAAAATTCTACTTCTTCAAATGGCCAAAGCTCCCTAAAAGATTCGAATAATAATAAATCCACAAACAGTTCAACTGCTACCAATTCAGCCAACATCACTTCAGGACCTTCTACTACTACTAGCACCACCAACAATAATGCTAGAATTAATTCTTCTACTCCTCCTTTAATGTCACCAAAAATTATTGAATTACGCAGATCAGAATCATTTTCCTCCAACAAATCTAGTAAAAGTTCCGATGACTCTTCCTCCTCCTCAACAGTAAATTCTTCACAGCCTAACAATAAGAAAAAACCAAAATCTTCAAAATCATTAGCAACTACAACAGAAACTGCTGCTGCGACCACAGGAACAGAAACTCTTGTACTTAATGGCATTGCACCTAAAGGTCGTAGTCATTTTAATACAAATAGAAACCTTGTAAAAAAATCTAAAGGTGCTAAAAATGTTAGTAATAGAGTTTCACCAAAAGATGAAATCAATAAAGAGTTATTGGCTAGATTGGAAGAACAAAATTCTCAATTGCCTCCTCAGGTAAATGAATACAAATTCGTTCATCATTTCATTTCATTCTTTATAGAGAGCTATTTATTTATATCTAATAAAAAAATTATTTTATTTTATTTAGGATTCAACACAATTTTTGTTGGCAAGACTTGAAAGACAAAATGAATTATTAGATAATGATCCAAAATCTGTTTGTATAGAATCTAATGTTCTTAAAGCAAATTTAGAAACTGTACAGTCGTTAATTGATGACATCACAAGTCCATCACCCACCGATGATTCCACCGACATTATTAGTAATAATTTAGAAGAACTCATTACTGATAATATTAAAATTAAAATTAATAATAGTAATAATAGTAATAGTAATAAATTAGCAATCGAATCTACGAAAACAATTGATTGGGACTTCTGGACTGCTTTAATTCAAGATTATAATTCTGTCGCAACAAAGTTACCACATTTGTTAACAGCAAAATTACAACAAGGTTTACCACCTAAATTGAGAGGATTGATCTGGCAATCAATGTCTCAAGCTTCTTCCACCTACTTGGAAACAATGTACTCGCAACTATTAAACGAGTCATCACCTTACGATCGTATAATTCAACGTGATTTGGCTAGAACGTTTCCTACTATTGAGATGTTCAAGAAGGAAAATGGAAAAGGCCAAACTATGCTTTGGAATGTGTTAAAAGCCTATAGTCTTTATGATCCTTTGGTTGGATATTGTCAAGGTTTAGGATTCTTGGTTGGTCCATTGGTGATGAACGTATGTAATATATATAAATAGCCTAAAGATTTGTAATTTGTAATCGTGTAATAACATTATATATACATGTATGCATGTATTATTTCATATATATTTTTAGATGAATGAAACCCAAGCATTTTGTGTTTTTGTCAGGTAAAAAAAAATAATCAACATTATTTTTTCTCATCCAAAAAAAAATCATTGACTAACACTGATATTATTTGATAAATAATAGATTAATGGAAACATATGATATGAGAACCATGTTTACTTTAAATATGGAAGGTTTGCAACTAAGACTTTACCAATTTTCAGCACTTCTTTCACAAATACTACCAAATCTTCATGCACACTTCCATTTACACGGCGTAAACGTTGGAATGTTTGCATCACAATGGTTTTTATCATTGTTTGCTTATAGTTACCCATTCCCATTAGTTTTAAGAATTTATGATGTTGCGTTTGCTGAAGGTGCCCCCGAAACAATTATGCGAGTTGCAGTCGCATTATTAAAGAAAAATGAGGAAACGTTGAACTCACTTGGGGAATTTGAAGATTTGTTGGATTTTTTGACCTCGAGACTTTATGATGCTTATAATAATGAACCAACAGGATTAATTAAAGATGCAATGTCTTTGAGTTCAGTTATAACTAAATCAAAATTGGATCATCTTTCAGAAAATTACGTTAAAGATTTAGAAGATTCAAAGAAAAGAGCAGAGGAATTGGTGGCCGTTAGGTTTAATAGCAGATTTGGTAGAAACAGCAGCAGCACTAATAAAAAAGATAAAAGAAAAAAAGCCATTGAAGGAGACAATACTGCTAATAAACGTGATGGTAATAAACCTAAACGTTGGTCATTACCAAACACTAGAAACTCGATACAATCATTTGTAAATTATGCAACTTCCTCCTCCTCATCAAATAACAATTCATTAAATAGTGATTTGGGATCTTCTTCAAACGCATCATCCGATACAGAAACAACACCACCTAGTACTGGCACCGCCGCCACCACCGCCACCACCATCGCTACCACTATTATTGCAGAAGACAGTGATGATAATAACAATGACGACAATAATAGTCAAACAAATCCTGCAACTCCCACAGCCGCTTCATTCTTTTCAGTAAATAACCCATCACAGCCACAACCATTAACATCTTCAACAAACGTGGGAATATTACATCAACAAATTGAAGATTTGGTTTTAGCATTATCGCAATTACAAAAAGATCACGTTGATTTGACCGATCAATTGGTAAATATTAAAATGGAGAAGATGGATTTAATTAACGAGTTGGAAGGATACAAGTTGAGAGTTAAAGGTATCGAAAAAGAAAATAAAAGAATGTCTTCATTATCGGTTTTGTCTATCAATAGTGACGCGACACTTAATGATGATACTACAAATACTAGTGATAGTAATGGACCTTTAACACCACCAAAACCCAATTTAGATTTTATTTCTGATAGCATTAATGATATTAATAACCATAAGACTATCAAGAGAAGAGCATCTTTACCGACAACAGTGTTTCAACAAGATATAATTGGTGGTGCTGTAATTGCTGATGAGAAGCAACATTTTAATTTATTTAATAATAACAATTTAAATTCTAAAAATTTATCATTATCAGTAAAATTAAATAATAATGGAATCTTCAACGCCGGTAAAAATAGTAATCAATTTCCATATAAATTTATTTCAACTCAAGAATTAAATCAATTAAAAGAAGAAAAATATGTTTTGATGCAAGAAAATGAAATGTTGGTAAAGAAAATATTGGAATTGGAGGATAATTTGGATAAATCATTTAAAGTTAATAAGAAATTACAAGATAAAAATAGTTTTTTCAGAGATGAAATCAAAAGACTGGACGAGGAGAATGCTGAAGTTATATATGAGAAAAATGCAATGTTGGAAAATGTTAAAGGTGTCAAGGAGTTAAGAATTCAATTGAATAAAGTTAAAAGAGAGAACGAAAAGTTGAAGAAAGAAATTGAAGAGAACGGAATTGTGTTAATGCTAAGTCCTGGTATTTGTGATGACAGTAATAATGGTAATGGTGCAACAGGTAATTGTGTTGAATATGATGAAGATGGTGTTCAAGGATTGGGTGAAGATTTTGATTTGACAACATTTAAACAAGAATTAAAAGAAGAATTATTAAACACTTCAATTAACAAAAGCAAATCATTTAGAAGAGTCTCATTTATGAGTTTCTTTGGTAATTCTAAACAACAGCAGCAGCAGCAACAGCAAACTACTCTTAATAATGATGACGATTATCAAATAATATCACCAAATATATGTACAGGATCATGTGAATCAACCAAAAAAGTATCAGAATTGGAAAAGTCTTTGAAAAATATTAAAATATTATTGTTAGAAAGTGAAGATGCAAGAGAAGATATGAGTCATCAGTTGGAGGAATTGAGTAGTTTGATTTATGGATTTGACGATATTGGATTTGATATGGGTAAAGATGATGATGATGATGATAAAAATGCCAGTGTTGAATCTGGTAAAAAAATTGAAAATAAAAGATTAAGTAGTTTGAGTTTAGCAAATTTATTTAGTACGATCACTAATATCAGCAACGGGATTGGTAACGTTTCTTCTAATTAATCCAATTAATCCAATTAATTGATCAATTGATTAATTGAAACTAGAGAGAAATTGGCTCGAGAGGCCTTATGGGCTTTTTAGATTTGAAAATAAATATATAACATTTCTAGAATTTATTTATTTAAACTATAGTTTTTTCTTTAGAAAAATAAATTCTTTAATTGTAATTTTAGGAATAATTTTAAATATTTATTTTTTATTTATTTTCTTGTAATTCTTTTCTTTTCTTTATTTTTCTAGGGTTATAAGTTTTTTTTTCCTTTTTTTTTTAATTAAAAAAGTTGTAAATTATTTTTATATATACATTATATATAATTAAGGTTTAATATGGGTTTATATAGGTTTTTTTTTATTTTAATTCTTTTTATATGGGCTTTTTTATATAGTAAATTTTCTAAAGTTTTTTCTCCTTTTTTTGTATACAATTTTTTTTTTGTTATTTTAGTTTTTTGTAGAAAAAGAAATAAAGTTTTTAAATAATAATAAAAAAAAACAAAAAAAAACAACAAATCCCACTTGGTTTTAATCAATGTTTGGAATATATTGAATCATATTTTATGTACTAATAAAGAAACAATAAACATTTATGATTCTTAATAGGCGTTCCAGCAATCGGACACAACAAATTTCTCATGGGTTTGATGGACTTGACGAATTTGACGTGCCATTATCCTATAAGTTTTAATTTTATATGTACTTTTAAGTGCAAAATTTCAAAAAAAAATTTTTTTATAAAAACTACTTATTCAGGGATCTCCATTATCAGATATACTCCAGACAGACACCAAGGGTTCCATGATTTTTTTGGCCGACCTATAAATACACAATATGGTTTAACATTGTTTTTTTCCCTCTCTATTATGCAACATGTAGTCAGGCATTCTACATTATTTCCGTCACGTCTTTCCTTGAAAGTTTTGATTCGACTGAGATCCTATAAAAACAAATAAATGTGAATAAGAATAAGCCATGAATTGTCTCCTTTTTATTACTATTAACTGAAGATGTATATGTTAATACCATGGATGAGGTGGTTAAAAAAATTTAGAATATTGATTAACAATATATATTATTTCATTGCTTTTCTCAAGTTTGAAATGAATATACACTCACTCATCAAAAAACGTTTTATTGGTCAAATTAGATTGATATTTTTCATGTTCTTTAATCATGATTTGTTAGATTTCTTCTAATAAAATTTTACGAGGATAATTTGACACTACAAATTGTTTGTAATTCACATATGTTTAAATCTTGGTTTGTGAAAAAAAAAACAAGTCTGCCAGCGATCATACCAAGAATCTGCCATTATTCCTGTTCAAGTTCTGCTTATATTCTTGCAATTCTGCAAATAAATTTATTTAGAAAAGAATATTATTATTTAAATTAAAAATTAATTTGTATATTTTTTGGATGGAAATATTCGTTACTTTTGTCTTTATTGTTTGGTTAACTAATATCATTCGAATTTAAATAAATTTTTTTATTTGAAATTTAGGTTTAAGTCAATATCTTGGCTATGTGCCAGATTTAGTGACTTCGTATTAAATGACTCAGACAACATGCTCGAAATATGAAATGTTACTATTGCACATTTGCCTTTTAAGTTTTCATATAATTACCATTTTTTACTTTTCTACTTGAGATGCCACATCACAGACCCCGCACAATTGCATCAACACTGAAACCTTTGCTGTCACCCTGTATTTCCATCGACTCCGCTCCTCCATCTACCATTATTCTCGCATCCTCGCTTATACGCCTGTACATCCTTCCATCTATATCCTTTCTCTCCGTCATCCATTCTCACAAACCATTACATCCGCACACCAAGCCCTGTCCATGTGGGAACTCACATCATATCTGTTAACATTTCACCAAGTTGAAGGATTTTGGGTCAGGCAATGAAATATCTTTCTATATTACCATCGTTGATACTGACTATACCGACCATAAGTCCTTCTTTTTCCATTTTTACTTTTTTTACTTTATAATAAATAAAATTTATTAATTTTCTTTCCGTCTGCTTTAATTTGGTGTTCTACTAGTACTATGTAATATTAATTGTTTGTTTATGATCTTTAAGAGAGAGAGAGGCGGAAAAAGAAAATGTTAGGGTTTTTTATACTTCTTGTATGAATGTGTGTATATCTGAAAATTAGTGATGTTAGCCGGTTAAAAAAAAATTTCCTTTAACATTCATTTTTACGTCTAGAATTTAGTGCAGAATTCAATGGCATAGATAGACACTTAGTTAAGATGGGGTCCATATTCATTGCTTAGAATGACAAAAAAGTATACATTTGCTCAAAAAAAAAAATATAATACTCATAGCAGGATAAAAATAATACAGTCCCCGGAGAAATTAATGACGCGAAGATTCGAATTAATTATTCAGTCATAATACCATAAAACGTTCATTTATAATGTTTATTTGTCATTGAGTCGCGTAAATAGATAGTAACCATAAAAGTAAATAATAATCAATGTTTTTGTTTATTTTGCAAAGTGTCTTCGAACCATATTAAAGACAGCCATAATGCCGTTAACTTTCTCTAGAAACAAAAATATTCGTACTCTGAAAGAAATTTCGAATAGAACTGGGATCCCATTACCTACATGTCAACGATACGTCACCATATTAAAAAAAAAAAGGAAATTCGCCGGTCAGGTCGTCCGCGAAAATTATCACCGAATGATCGTCAAGAGTAACCACTATAGGAAATGAAAGCTATTTTAGAAGAAAAATACCAAGATCTCGAAGTTAGTGAGAGAACTGTTCGCCGTGAACTTTCCAACCTCGGTTACGTTGCTACTCTTCCCAGAAAAGTTCCTCCTCTAACAGAACAAGCAAAGATTAACCGCTTGTAATGGGCACAAGATCATGTGCATTACAACTGGAAGAAAGTTGTTTTTTCAGACGAAACAACTATCCAGTTGTTTCACAATACGATGCTAGCATGGTCTCGTGAAAAGAAACCTGTCCAACCTATGGTAAAATATCCCCTTAAGGTTCATATTGAGGTGCTATCAATTTTAAAGGGAAGGTCGGTATTTATATCTTTACTGAAAACCTTGACTGCCAACTATATCGTAAAATTTTGAATGAACAACTTTACGATAATGCTGATGCATTAGTAGGTGGACGATGAGTCTTTCAGCAAGATAACGACTCTAAGCATACATCTAGGGACGTTATGAATGATCTGAATACCGTCTTCCAAGACGTGTCCTTGCTCGGCCTTCACATAGCCCAGATCTCAATTCTATTGAGAATATATGGGCTATTTTGAAGTATAATGTTGAGAAACACGTCAAAAAAATGATAGCAGAAAAAAAAAGTTTTAAAAATAAATTTATCGGTATTATTAGGGAGGAATGGGAGGGGATCGAAAAAAACGTCATAGTTAATAGCATCGGTAGCATGCAAAATCGAGGTCAAACGTGCACCGATGCTGAAGAAGCTCACACAAAGTACTAACACCATAATAAAAGTTATAGTCATACCATTTGGCTTTAAGAAAAAAAAATTTTTTAGAAATTTTTAATAAAGCGCATTTTTTATTCATAAAAAATTACGCGCCATTACTTCCGCCGGGGACTGTAGTTAAAGTTTCTGTTCGTAATACAAATTCTTATTTTAATTCGAATCGTTATTATTTTTCTATTTTAATTATCCGTTTTATTGGTTTATTCGTTTTATTCACTCCAATTCATAACGAATAAACAAATAATTCGAATAAATCTTATTCGAACTATTAAAATAGTAATAATGGTGAAATATTATAATAACAATAATAAATAATAGTAATAATAACGATAGTAGCAGTGATAATATAATACCAGCAAGCTTAGTACCATCTGTAAGTTTTTCATCAACTGGGATTTATTTAGGTTCTTAACCGGCTAAAGTTTTTCTACCGGCCAACATCATTATCAAAAATAAATATTATGTTCATATTCCTTTTTTATTCGGATAATTTATGATGTAATTTTAGATGTAGGGTATTACATTGGTCTCTTTATTCGAACAATTGTGAAGAAGAAGAAGAATTATTATGAAAGAGTTAAAGAGTTAGTTGAGATGACAAGATTTTTCCTTTTAATATATATACGCACTTTTCCAATTTAGAATTTGGTGCTGTCCACGATTATTTTAAATATCGACATTATACGACCAAGGAGATGTTTTTTTCTTATCAATCGAAAAAGCAAATGGCACATTTATTGTTTGTTTGTTAAAATCTTTTTCATATTAATATATTAAATTTCAAATTCCCGAAATGATAAACATTTTAATAGATAAATATGGAATTCATATGGCAATAAAAAAATGTGACAACAAATCTATTATGTCATAACTTATTTCAAAGGTTTACTTGCTAATTTAAAAAATATGGAATTAGAAACTAGTGAGGTATTTAATAATAATAACAATAATATTAATAAATGTTGTTTGAAATTAATTTATTTATTTTTATTTTATAAAGGATTTACAAACATATTTTGACAATTTGGTGTTAAGGCAAGTTTGTTTTGAATTTACAAAAAATATTTCGATGAATTAATGAATTAATAGGATTAGTAAATGTGATTAATTAGCATTTTGGAATAAGCATGTATACCTTCATATAATATAATACTATTCTAACAGGGTGGATGGATTGAAATCTGTAACAATGACTGACAAAGATGGTGTTGCAATAATAAAATGTAAGAATCAATGTAAATCGATTAAAATTTCCAAGAATTGAAATTAATTTTTAATATTTGCAACTTTTCATTTTAATAATAATAAGCTGTAACAAATAATGCATCCATTAAAACATTTGAGCATATATTATCAGCGACTTTTGGAGTTATCAGTGACCAGGTAATTTAATTATGTAAATAGAATCCATGAGTGAGAAATAATCCATTCATCTATAAAAGAAAAATTATAATAAATTTGTAAAATTATTTAAATAACTTAGGCATCGAAATTAGGATTAAAAGAAAATAAATCTATAATTAGCCTTTATGGAATTTATCAAGTCATACAATTTAATCACGCACCATTAATTACTATTTTAATTGCTGATTCTGAAGCAAACACTGGTGAATATTATTATATTATATAATATACAATATTATTATATATATAAATACTAATATTATATATGTATATACACCATCTTATGGTGAAGGCGTATTATTAGATCTTGGAAATGAATTAAAAGAAATAGCAGATTTAATATCTGCAACATTAATTGAAAGACAAACATCAGCAACATAGTATATACTTTGTTATTATTTGTTATTTTTTAATTTTAAGAAAAAATATTTATATAATATTAAATAATAGTACAAAGAAATAAAATATATCAATAATAAGTTTACATGTGTTTGCAAACTAGAGAAAAACAACAGTAATAATAACAATAATAATGAATACCGATTCTTTTTCTTTGGTTTTCATAGACAAAAAAGAATAAATGAAATTTTGAAAAGGTGAGTGAGTTGACAATTAAAGGTGGGTTTTAAATTATTTTTTATTGAGAACAATTGGTACTACAAAAAAATTTTGATTAATTAATTGGTATGCTTCTTATTATAATATATATTTCCAATATTATATAAAAATTGATATTACTTACAAATAATAATCAATAATAAAATGATTATGGTAACAGCGATAATAATTCTCATTTTCATATCTTTCCACCACATTTGTTTTCGTACTTTATTTGCCCCACGACGAAATCCTTGTGCTGATACTGACAAATTTTCTATTTAAAAAAGATAGTGAGGAGATATTACTAATTATTTAAATTATTTAAAGTTTTTCTTTATTCTCCAACATAATTTCTTTACCGGTTTTATCTTGTAAAGTGTCTAATCTCTCTCCTCTTACGGCAACGGATTTAAGGTTATCACGCATAACTTCTACTGTCTCGTCGATTTTTTTTTGAATTTCTGCAGTTTTTGAAGGTGGTCCACCAGCAGCGCCCTCCTTAGGTACATATGGATCATATGAAGACCTGTTGAAAAAAAAAAAGATTATTAATGTCATTGGACAGTGACGATTTTAAGTAACATTCGTTCATTCAGTCAGTTAAACAAAAAATAATTATTTTCCATTGCAAACTAACTAATTAATCTAACTGATTTATTGATTCAATCTGCCCAAATAAAAATTTCAATATGCTTGGTTTCTTTTATTTCAATATAATAAAAATAATACATACATTATAAAGTATTTTTATTATTTCAATGATTTCTTGAAGAATGCTAGGTGCAAGTATTTTATTATTAATGGCAAAGAACCTTTTTGAAATTATTTTTTGAATAAAGTTTACGTGCACAAACTATTTATTATTATCAATCCAAGTACAAAATAACATCTTTTTATAAATAAAATTTCTGCTTATAGTTATGTTGTCGCACATCTTAAAATTTCTAGGGGGTAGCAGGACCCCGGAAACTATAGATAGGTTACTGGGGTGTATAGTGCAGGACACCTAGTCCCTACAACTTTTATTAGTCTTGCAAATCCTTTAACTCCTCCGAAAATGGAAATGTGTGACCTAAAAAACAAGATGTCATTTTGAAGCTAAGACCTTTTTCTACAAAATGACATTTTCATTTTGTTGAGATGCCATGTTGTTGTGGAGGAATTAAGCCATAAAGTTGCACAAGTTTAACAAATTTACTATGTTAATCCCACAAAGTGACGTGTTACACACAAATTTTTTTAATATTAAAAAATGAACGAATTGGAAGAATTGAAAATTTTGAAATCTATGTTGCAGATCCTTTATCACGTGATATCAATAAAGAGAATGCAACGTGACAAATCTATTTTAAAACACGTGGCTGTAAAAATTTTATTGCATTTTTGATTGTGAATTTTTTCTCAAATCTGTCGCTGTGGCGCAGAAAGTTGTAGGGACTAGGTGTCCTGCATCATACAATGGACTAATGTAGATCAAACTAATTAACATCATATTAATATGGGGCAAAACCAGACAAAGTGAACATTGATATTATTAAAAATTTCAGGGTCCAAAATTTAGTGATTATTATCACAATTGCATTGTAATTATAATTTAACAGTCCAATTTGTTACCTTAAGTGATATATAGATCTTTCAGGTTGAAACCAACTCAAATTTCAAGGTAAATGAGTAATCGAAATTTATGACATAACCAAAGATCCAGAAAAAAACGATTACATGATTGTCATGCAATATGCGAATGAGAAAAGTCTTTAAAAATGTTAAATAAATATTTTAATGTATCGGATTGGGCAGATAAATTAAATATTTTGCGTTGTATTGCTTATGGGCTCGCTTTGATTCACAAAGAAGGACTAATCCATAAAGATTTACATTCCGGGAACATTGTCTGCACATCACTGTCTAGTTATTACATTACAAGTTTCAGATTATGCAGACCGATAGGGGTTCAAGGTTCGAAAATTTTTGGTGTGCCTCCATACGTGGCACCCGAAGTTCTAAAAGACAAGGATTACACTCAAGCATCAGATATATATTCTTTTGGAATCATCATGATGTAGGTTTTCACATGTTACGATGTTCCACATGATTTTAACTTGGCAACGCTCATTTGTCAAGGACTTCGTCCCAAAATCAGATGTGAAATTCCTCAGCTACTTATAGACATGGTAGACAGGTGCTTAAAACGCTAAACCCCAAAAACGACCAAGTGCTAAAAAATTATATAGGATTTTGCAAAAGTATACGCTCGATTATAAAAATTCGAGATCAGGATTTTACAAACAGGTTAAAGCTATCGAGGAATCAAAGAAAAAGTTTCCAACTTATGAACCAAACAAAATGACGGCAATACATTCTATGGCAATCTATACAAGTCATCTTTTAGATTTTGAAAATCTTCCTGAACCCGTTAATGCCACACCGGAAGGCAATAAAAATTATTTAAATATTGTGTGTGTATATAAATATATATATATTTTAGAAATATTTAAAATGATCGATTTTATTGTTTTATAGATTCAAAATTACTAGGGATTTATCAAAAAAAAATTCAATATCAAGTACTAACATAGAAATTTATCTTCTTGAAATAAGAACAAAGATCTTAGATAAAGTAGGAAGTGTCGTTTATCAAGTTGCAATTATTTGAAATTATTAATAATAAAATATTTTTTCGAAAAAAAAAAAAAATCTCCACAAACTCCTAAATATCATAATTATAATATAATTTGTATATATTTAGCATTGTACATATTTTTTACACATTGTATTTAACTAATAATGTATATTATACTCTATAATTTAAATAAAACTAGCTACATACAAGAAGGTTGTTTAATTCGATGAGTAATCAAGCTATAATATATATATATATATATTCAAAAAGTTAGCAAAATTATCGTAATAAATTAAATAGAAAAAGATTCTATTACAAATTCATTATATCATATACAAGAACTTTCGGAATTGCCTTCTCCAGTAAACGCTGAACAAAAATTTTGAATTGCACGATAATTTAAATCTTTTCTAGAAGAGTTGAGATCATCCCCATTAAATGCCATCCCCATATGTTTTACTTTCCAGGTAGGCATGTGGTTAAAGATAAAATGTAGTTAAAATAAAGTGTGGGGATTGGGAAATATATGTTATGTATTATTTATTAGTATAAAATAAATAAATAAACTAGAAATAATATGTAAATGAGCGCTCGTCCGTCATATATATATTTTTTTTCTACGTGCATTCGATACTTCCTTATTAATATTAAGCTTTAAAAGTTGCACAATTTTTTACTTGATGTGTTTTATTTGTGACACACTATTATTGGTCACAAAATAACAATAACACGCGTAAACTTCCTTCTCAAAACATTTAACAAGCGCGATGTCCAATCTAACTGTTAACTCGAACTCTGACTTTATAAGTTCTATTGGTAAGGTTGTCTTTCATTTTATTGGTGCCTAAAAAAAGACATTTATATATTTTTTGAAAAAAATTTTTTTTTGTAGAAATTGCCACTTCGGAATATTTTAAAAATATAGCACCTTCTTCATGGTCATATGAAAGCTTTCTTGCAACCATGAAACCTTACATTCTGTTGGAAGATGAAAGAGAACTTTCGGCCATCTGGCGAAAAAGATTTCTTAATGCTCTAAGTGTGATTATCACCAATTATAAAGAAAATGTTGAACCTAGTAAACAAGTTCAGCAGATTGCATCATTGTTAACAAATCAGGTAATATATACTTTTGATATTAGTATAGTCATTTTTTAAAGTACGAGTACGCGCAACTCAGAGGGGTTCAGTTCCTCTATTATTGCAAGGGAATCTCTTTAAGTCTTTAAAGATGCTGAGTATGGGGTTCAGTTCCTCGCGCCTTGCACAACCCAGGGAGGTTCCGTCCCTTTGTTCTTGCAAACAATCTTAGGGGGTTCAGCTCCTCCGAAGATTCCTGGGGATGGGGTTCAGTTCCTCGTGCATTCAAAAAAATTAAAAAAAAAAAAAAGTACCTTTAAAAATTTTGAAAAGAACTAATGGCTTCATTTGTCCCAGAAACAAACAGCTAGTGTTGTGAAATTCTGGAGGAATATCGTTCAAGAGAAAACAAGGCAAAAGTAGAAGAAAAACTTCGATATACACAGGTTTGTTTGTTTTTTTGTAAAAAAAGAATATTATTTTTTTTTGTAAATGACACATTGTTTATACATTCTTTGAATTGTTGAAGTTTATCTTCAAAGAAAACTCTAAGATAGACGCTTTAAAAATATTAAAAAGTGCAAGGACACAACAAACAGCCCAATTGAGTGGTGAAATTAATCTTAATAAACAGACAATTAGTAACGATGATATTGGTATATATGGTTCAGATAGCATTATTGGTTGTATATGTGTTTAGCAGGAAATGCAGATAACTGTTACCCCAATAATAATGTTTAAATTAATAAAGGATTAACAAGATTAAAAATTTTACTCCTAATAGATTGATATTAACACTTCCTGTTTTGAAAATCAGTAATTCCGGAAAAAAGAACAAATCAGGTATTTACAAACATCTTGCTGTATATGATTTAATCAAGATACTTATGATATTTTTTCCTCTTCTCACTTCAGGAGTATGCGAAAAACATATTTGATGATGATGATGATAATAAAATAAAGTGTTATGAAACAGTGAACAAAATTAAACTTGAACATGTAAAATATGATCCTAAAAGTGATATAGTTGATTTACGACCTAAATCGAAATTTTTTAAACAATTATCATTTGAAGATGTTCAAAATTATCATAAATAAATTGATGAAATCACTGAAAAATTGATTCCTGATCATATTCACAATTTTCTTATTGATTTTTTCTCTCAAAAACTTTCGGAAGCGGAGTGGCAAAACAAAATTGATGATCTTTGTCCACCAAATCATGACGATAGTTTACTTGTTGCAACAACAAGAATAATACGAAGAACATTGCCACAGTTGTACGTATAAAGAGATCTTTATTTTTTTTTTTTAATCCAAAATACATTATTATGCTCAAATATCTCTAATTTTGTAGCATTAAAGCATTCGCACTTGAGCATTTAATCCATTGTTAAACATTAAATCAATTGAAAAACCACATTTGAATGCTTTTGTACACCCATGTCTAGATGCTGCACTCTGGTACATTGCTCGGATAAATTATGAATATGGAGAAATTCCTTCACAAAATCATGTAACTCGTAATTTGGCAGATGGTGTAGGTTACATGACGAGCGCAGATAAATTTCAATTAGTTTATGTAGAAGGTGCAAGTCCCGTGGCAAAAGAGGACAAAGAAATAGCAGATGCAGAAAAAATCGCGAAAAATTTAAGGAATATGTTCAATAACATAATAAAGAATTCTTTTAATAACAGGAAGTGTATCCCAGAAAGTTTGAGAGTCTTTGGTGGTCAAAGCTTCAGATTACAGATATATCTCTTCTATTTAGATTTCCATGGTATGCCACATTGTATTAAAAAGTATCAACTTTATATATTATTTCCTATTGTTAACGTTGTTATAATTATAGACAAATATCACCTACATGAAGTAGAAAATGCAAACCTTCCAAGGGACTTTTCGGAGATTGAGGATTTTGTTCCTTTTTATGAGTGCATACTAAAATGGGCGGTATGTATGAACATTAAATTCAATATAGCTTTTCTCTGAACTACTATAATAACATCAAAACTCTTCTGAATATATACAAATTTAGTTACTTGTGAAAGAAATGACAGAGAAATTCGAAATTTCAAGAAAAAATAAAAGACCATCACGTAATTCGTATTCAAGAAATGTTCGTTTATTTGAAAAATTACAAAAAAATTCTTTTTAATTACAGAATAAAATGATTAAATGTTATGTGTCTTAGAGTATTATTCACAACGAAAAGGACAAAAAAGAATTTACACCTTATTAATGAAATGATAAATAAAAAATTTGTTGGTAAAATAAACTTTTCCCAAGTATTTATGGCATGCTGTTAAATTTTAAATCAAAAGATGACAGATAAATCATTATGGGTCATACATGATAACTAACTCATCTTTTTCTATATCCTATGTAAGAATTTATTTTTGTACTAAGTAAACCACATCTAATTCTTTCACAAATTAGTCATGATGTTATTAATATTTTGCAAAAAAAATTTTTTTGACCAAAAGTCTCGAAACCCGGTTTTCCATATGTTCTAATTTACAAGTTTACTTAGAATAAATAATGATGCCAATTTAGGCTACAATTTTTGACTTTTTAATATAAGCTACTACATAAGATAATAAATAAATTAAATTAAATTAAATAAATAAATAAATAAATAAATAAATAAATAAATAAATAAAAAAAATAAAAAAATGAATAATTAACGAAGCATCAACTTTCTCTTCTTGTGTGGAAATCTACATAGCAATTTCTAGTTTGGGAACAACATAATACATGCAATACAATAAATATATGAACGATTTGAGTCTTATTTGATTTTCCTTCATTTCTTTGGGTTAGAAATTTGCACCATTCACACACAATCCTATTCCGGAAGATGATTATTTTCAACGACTAATCTTTCCATGGATAATTCTGATCTTTGCTTGATGTAAGAAGCTCTGGATGATGGTGATGGTGATGGTGATGATTCTATGAAAAAAAGTTGTTACACGAAATTTACTTTAGTCTCAATTTCTTAAATGTATAAACAAAAATTCGGAATTTTTAAAATGCTAAGGCTCTGCCAATTTTCAGTTTAAGAAAAAACCAGCCGATAAGTTTTGAAGCTTGAGTCATGAACAATAAAACTTGACGGTTAAATTTTTTAAAATGATATAATTTTTTTTTGTTTTAGTATTTTGAAGTTGACCAATTGTTACTAGGGGCAGTGTTCGAAATAATTTCCAAATTAGGTTAGTGTTATGTTAAGGCGCAAGTTGAAGAAATATTATTATTTATTGCCATTTTTGAAAGTCATGTGATAAGTTGTTAAATGAAGCAATTAATAAAAACGTTTAATTAATCAACACGAAGCGAAACACATAATAGTAATTAAATCAATAATATATAAAATATTTAATGTCGGATTTGATCCGATTCTGCTTGATTCATATTTAATAACAAAATTTTTTTCTTAATATTAATAATGTGTGCGTAATTTAGATTGATAACAGATCTTTCAAAATGTCGATAGAAGAGAATTTTGATGAATTATTAAAAATTTTTAATAATTTTCAAGAGGAAGAAGAAAAAGAATTTTTTGATAATAATTCTAACTCCAACTCTAACTCTAATTCTAATTATAATTTCTCTAATCCAGAAAATTTATCAAATGATAACAGTAAGAAATATGTTCCATTATACGTTTATGATGGTTGGTATCATAAACCTCCTAAAGTGGCGATAAACCTTTTACTGCAAGAAAAATTTGGACCTACACAATTAAAAAATTCAATTGAAAATTATTATTTTAAAAAAAGTTATCAGGAAGCATTAAGATTATCGTTAGAATATATTGATTTTGTAGAAAAATCAAACAATCACAATTTAGCTAATGATGGTAGTAGTAATAGCAATGTTTATAATAATCCCAATAGATTAACTAGTACGCGTGAAATGTTAGAAATAGCTTCTCAATGTGCTTTAAAATTGGGAGATATTGAATTGGCTGTAAAATGTGCTGATAAACTGGTCAGTATTAGTTGGTTAATAGATGATGGATGATGATGATGATGATATATATATATTAATTTGACTTTATTATGGGTTTTTTTAATTGAAAGGTTTCAAATGAACCTGGACATATAAACCTTAAAGGTATGATTTATTCTAAAGGTGGAAGATTTGCAGGTAATTAATTAATTAATAGGTAGGTAGTAACCAATTAATTAATTAATTAATAATCTATCAAATTACTGATTCGATATTATTATCATCATAATTCTAGATTCGATCAAATGGTTTGTTAAATATCAGAAAATTCGTAAAAATGATTATATTGTGTGGAAAGAAATTGGTAAAACATTCATCAATCATTCTGAAAATAAAACTGTTACCGATAGTAATAATAGTAATAGTAATAGTATAATATATCAACAGTTTGCATTGATATGCTTGAAACATTCTTATAATATAATGGTAAAATCTAATTGGCAACATCATATAGATTATTTAGAAATCAGATATTTGGCTGAAAAGAAAGAAATTGAAGATTTAATAAATAATTTAGATAAAAGAATTTTACTAAATGCAGTGAACGCAGTGAATATAGTAGAATTAACTGATTGGATAAATAATTTAAAGAATCTAGAAGAAAAAGAAGACCATTCATCAAATAACCTGGATATTGGATCGGATTTTATTAGCAGTGAATTATTTGAATGGATATTAGATGAATGTAATAATAGTAATAATAGTGATTGTAATAATGATAATGATTTAATTGATAATAACTTTAAAAGCTTTAAAGATTTATAAAAAACAAAAATTAAAAAGTTAATTTACATTTTATTGTTTACTGTTATGATTTATTATTATTGTCATTACTTTGTTCTATTTTTGGTTTTCGAAGTTCGAATGAATGTTTTTTATTAAAATAATCAACCTAATAATAATGAATATGTATCAATATATATATTTATAATATTATATTCCTTTTTCCTTGAGCATAAAATTTTCCGCACCATCATTTACTCTTACCCAACTTGCAATACACTTATCTTCGTAAGCTCCTTTTATCTTCCAGCATCCATTCTTTTTTACTAAACTTTTTATTGATTCATCATTATTTACCGTCGTTGGATCAATTTCTCCAAGACATTTAAAATATTCATCTCTTAATTTCCAACATAATTCTCTATCTGATCGAACTGGTGGTTGTGACATTTTTATTTTTTTTTAAAAAAAAATTTTATCAGATACCCAGGATCGTCATTAGTGATTCCATAATAAATGACTGTTAATCGTAATACATAATAAATTCAAATTCAACAAAATGTGTGGAAGATACGTGCTTGCCAAGGTAAAAATTATATAAATTATATTTTTAATAATAACAATAATAACAATAATTATGATGATGATCTAGGAGTCAAGTTCATTACAAGGTTTTCTTGAGAAGAAATTTAATTCAAATATTACAAATTGGGTTGATAAAGAAACTTATTGTCCATCGTAAATATTCAGATTTTTGATTTTTATAATACTCTGATTTCTTGAAAACTTATTCCTTTCTCTTACTCTTTCTCTCCCCTCTTCTCTCATCTAAAGTTACAACGTGGCACCAGGACAATATCAACCGCTTATAAGAGCTGTTAATAATAATGAAATAATTATGCAAAATATGGTAAAGATAATTGAAAAATATGCAAACAACAAAAAAACAAACATTAATTAATCAATTATTGAATTTAGAAATGGGGATTGGTTCCATTTTGGACAAAGACATCCCCGGATTATCCAAATATCATTAATTGTCGTGATGACTCATTACTTGATGGTGGTAAATCAATGTTTACATCGATGAAGAATTCTAAACGTTGTGTAATAATAGCTGAAGGGTAAATAATAATTTCAATGATAAGGATTTTCTTGAGAAAAAAATAAAATAAAATTGCTCAATTTTTAGATTCTATGAATGGCTTAAAAAAGGAAATAAAAGATTGCCATATTATACCAAAAGAATAGATGGTGAATTAATGTTATTTGCCGGACTTTATGATTGCGTAACATTCGAGTCATCGGAAGAAAAAGGAGAAACAGGAAAAGAAGAGTTATACACTTTTACAATAATTACAACAAAATCATCAAAGCAATTATCATTTCTTCATGATCGTATGCCAGTAATTTTAAATAATGAAAAGTCATTAGTTGATTGGTTGGATGCAGATAAAAAATGGTCACCGGATTTAGCAATTATTCTTAAACCTTATGAAGATGGATTAGAAATGTAAGTGTTTGATCATTGGTGGATTGTGTGTTATTGGAAGACAGACGCCTTTGCCTAATATTTATTTTTGTAAATTTTATATTTAATTTAATCTATTTGGATAATATTTATTTTTTGTAAAAAGTTATCCTGTATCACAAGATGTTGGCAAAGTAGTAAATAACTCGCCTGAACTAATCGTACCAATCAATTCACCACAATCAAAAACAAATATTGCAAATTATTTCACTAAAAAAGAAGTTGGATGTAGTAGCAAAACAGAAGATGGCAGTGGTGAAACAGAAGTTGAGTTAATAGTTGGGAGTATAGCTGGTAAAGAATTATCTTCATCTTCATCTTCAAAATTGAAATCAGAAACTTCAAATAGACGAGATCTCGATAATAGTGAAGATGGAAAAGATAAATCAAATGAAACATTATCAATAACTCCAAAAAAATTTAAAACGTCATTACCACCTTCATCATCGTTGTCATCATCATCGATATCTTTGCCGAGAAAAAGAAAACAAAATCATCAGGCTGAAAATTCTAGTAATAAAATCACACGATTTTTTCAAAAATCAGAATCATAGTTATAGTATCAATTTCACAAATGCATATTTTTATAATTATTTATCATAGTAATAGAGAATGTAACATTATATATCATATATTATTATCAATTAAATTAATTATAAAGTTGATTATTACTTGGGCAAAAGTTATTTTTTTATTTTTTAAATTTGAAAGAAAAAATTACATTTTTATTAATTTTTAAAAAACTAAAATCAATTGATTTAACAATGCCATCTACCAATGAAAACTTTGTATTCTCTCCATTTTTCAGGAGCATGTTTAGGAATAATAATAAATTTATAAACTTTAGCACCACATTTACCAACAATTCTTGGTATAACAATCAATTTATAAATTTTAGCGTGTCGACATTTTTCTTTTGGAATCACGATCAACTTGTAAGCTTTGTAAACACCTTTCTTTTTTGGAATAACCAAAACTTTATATTTACGAGGTCCTTCAAAAGTTTTCTTGCCATCATGAAGTCCAAAATAATCATCGGATGTTTGAACGATACGATTTAATTCGGCGTTAAGTTCCGTTGGTTCCAATGAGGCAGATTCAATAGAATCCAAAGATGAGACTTTCTCGTTGTAAGCTTGACATTGTGTTTCATCGTGAATGGTAGTATCGTCGGTATCATCGATAGGAATTGAAAGGACTAAATTAATTGACAATAGGACCAAAATAAAGAACATTATTAAACGTGACATTATTTTTTTTTTTCAATAATAATAAGTTTTGATTATTTTATTATTATTATTTGTTTGGATATAGAAACAAATTTTCGACGAAGAAAATTCAGATTCTATTTATAATATCAAAAAATCATTTTAACTCGTGTTTTTTATTTAGATTTACTCTTTTCTTTACATATAATTTTGATTTACTTTTTTTTTTTTTTTTTTTTTCACGCAAAGAAAGAAAAATAATGTCGATATTGATGATAGAATTTTATAAACTTTAGATCAATCATTAAGTTTCTTTTATTGTTATTATAGGATGGGTAAGTGAATTGGGAGCGGGAACGAGAAGGATGGAAAAAATTTGTAAAAGTAGGTTGATTGATTTCATTTTTTTCCTTCCCAAAGATAATCTCGATAAAAAAAACCCGTTGATTAATTGGAATGTTTTTACTGGGTAGACAAAGATAAATAGATAATGATAATGTGCATTTTTGTAAATTTGATTAACTTCGTCAAAAATTGTAGCCTAAATTGGCATCATTATTTATTCTAAGTAAACTTGTAAATTAGAACATATGGAAAACCGGGTTTCGAGACTTTTGGTCAAAAAAATTTTTTTTGCAAAATATTAATAACATCATGACTAATTTGTGAAAGAATTAGATGTGGTTTACTTAGTACAAAAATAAATTCTTACATAGGATATAGAAAAAGATGAGTTAGTTATCATGTATGACCCATAATGATTTATCTGTCATCTTTTGATTTAAAATTTAACAGCATGCCATAAATACTTGGGAAAAGTTTATTTTACCAACAAATTTTTTATTTATCATTTCATTAATAAGGTGTAAATTCTTTTTTGTCCTTTTCGTTGTGAATAATACTCTAAGACACATAACATTTAATCATTTTATTCTGTAATTAAAAAGAATTTTTTTGTAATTTTTCAAATAAACGAACATTTCTTGAATACGAATTACGTGATGGTCTTTTATTTTTTCTTGAAATTTCGAATTTCTCTGTCATTTCTTTCACAAGTAACTAAATTTGTATATATTCAGAAGAGTTTTGATGTTATTATAGTAGTTCAGAGAAAAGCTATATTGAATTTAATGTTCATACATACCGCCCATTTTAGTATGCACTCATAAAAAGGAACAAAATCCTCAATCTCCGAAAAGTCCCTTGGAAGGTTTGCATTTTCTACTTCATGTAGGTGATATTTGTCTATAATTATAACAACGTTAACAATAGGAAATAATATATAAAGTTGATACTTTTTAATACAATGTGGCATACCATGGAAATCTAAATAGAAGAGATATATCTGTAATCTGAAGCTTTGACCACCAAAGACTCTCAAACTTTCTGGGATACACTTCCTGTTATTAAAAGAATTCTTTATTATGTTATTGAACATATTCCTTAAATTTTTCGCGATTTTTTCTGCATCTGCTATTTCTTTGTCCTCTTTTGCCACGGGACTTGCACCTTCTACATAAACTAATTGAAATTTATCTGCGCTCGTCATGTAACCTACACCATCTGCCAAATTACGAGTTACATGATTTTGTGAAGGAATTTCTCCATATTCATAATTTATCCGAGCAATGTACCAGAGTGCAGCATCTAGACATGGGTGTACAAAAGCATTCAAATGTGGTTTTTCAATTGATTTAATGTTTAACAATGGATTAAATGCTCAAGTGCGAATGCTTTAATGCTACAAAATTAGAGATATTTGAGCATAATAATGTATTTTGGATTAAAAAAAAAAAATAAAGATCTCTTTATACGTACAACTGTGGCAATGTTCTTCGTATTATTCTTGTTGTTGCAACAAGTAAACTATCGTCATGATTTGGTGGACAAAGATCATCAATTTTGTTTTGCCACTCCGCTTCCGAAAGTTTTTGAGAGAAAAAATCAATAAGAAAATTGTGAATATGATCAGGAATCAATTTTTCAGTGATTTCATCAATTTATTTATGATAATTTTGAACATCTTCAAATGATAATTGTTTAAAAAATTTCGATTTAGGTCGTAAATCAACTATATCACTTTTAGGATCATATTTTACATGTTCAAGTTTAATTTTGTTCACTGTTTCATAACACTTTATTTTATTATCATCATCATCATCAAATATGTTTTTCGCATACTCCTGAAGTGAGAAGAGGAAAAAATATCATAAGTATCTTGATTAAATCATATACAGCAAGATGTTTGTAAATACCTGATTTGTTCTTTTTTCCGGAATTACTGATTTTCAAAACAGGAAGTGTTAATATCAATCTATTAGGAGTAAAATTTTTAATCTTGTTAATCCTTTATTAATTTAAACATTATTATTGGGGTAACAGTTATCTGCATTTCCTGCTAAACACATATACAACCAATAATGCTATCTGAACCATATATACCAATATCATCGTTACTAATTGTCTGTTTATTAAGATTAATTTCACCACTCAATTGGGCTGTTTGTTGTGTCCTTGCACTTTTTAATATTTTTAAAGCGTCTATCTTAGAGTTTTCTTTGAAGATAAACTTCAACAATTCAAAGAATGTATAAACAATGTGTCATTTACAAAAAAAAATAATATTCTTTTTTTACAAAAAAACAAACAAACCTGTGTATATCGAAGTTTTTCTTCTACTTTTGCCTTGTTTTCTCTTGAACGATATTCCTCCAGAATTTCACAACACTAGCTGTTTGTTTCTGGGACAAATGAAGCCATTAGTTCTTTTCAAAATTTTTAAAGGTACTTTTTTTTTTTTTTAATTTTTTTGAATGCACGAGGAACTGAACCCCATCCCCAGGAATCTTCGGAGGAGCTGAACCCCCTAAGATTGTTTGCAAGAACAAAGGGACGGAACCTCCCTGGGTTGTGCAAGGCGCGAGGAACTGAACCCCATACTCAGCATCTTTAAAGACTTAAAGAGATTCCCTTGCAATAATAGAGGAACTGAACCCCTCTGAGTTGCGCGTACTCGTACTTTAAAAAATGACTATACTAATATCAAAAGTATATATTACCTGATTTGTTAACAATGATGCAATCTGCTGAACTTGTTTACTAGGTTCAACATTTTCTTTATAATTGGTGATAATCACACTTAGAGCATTAAGAAATCTTTTTCGCCAGATGGCCGAAAGTTCTCTTTCATCTTCCAACAGAATGTAAGGTTTCATGGTTGCAAGAAAGCTTTCATATGACCATGAAGAAGGTGCTATATTTTTAAAATATTCCGAAGTGGCAATTTCTACAAAAAAAAATTTTTTTCAAAAAATATATAAATGTCTTTTTTTAGGCACCAATAAAATGAAAGACAACCTTACCAATAGAACTTATAAAGTCAGAGTTCGAGTTAACAGTTAGATTGGACATCGCGCTTGTTAAATGTTTTGAGAAGGAAGTTTACGCGTGTTATTGTTATTTTGTGACCAATAATAGTGTGTCACAAATAAAACACATCAAGTAAAAAATTGTGCAACTTTTAAAGCTTAATATTAATAAGGAAGTATCGAATGCACGTAGAAAAAAAATATATATATGACGGACGAGCGCTCATTTACATATTATTTCTAGTTTATTTATTTATTTTATACTAATAAATAATACATAACATATATTTCCCAATCCCCACACTTTATTTTAACTACATTTTATCTTTAACCACATGCCTACCTGGAAAGTAAAACATATGGGGATGGCATTTAATGGGGATGATCTCAACTCTTCTAGAAAAGATTTAAATTATCGTGCAATTCAAAATTTTTGTTCAGCGTTTACTGGAGAAGGCAATTCCGAAAGTTCTTGTATATGATATAATGAATTTGTAATAGAATCTTTTTCTATTTAATTTATTACGATAATTTTGCTAACTTTTTGAATATATATATATATATATTATAGCTTGATTACTCATCGAATTAAACAACCTTCTTGTATGTAGCTAGTTTTATTTAAATTATAGAGTATAATATACATTATTAGTTAAATACAATGTGTAAAAAATATGTACAATGCTAAATATATACAAATTATATTATAATTATGATATTTAGGAGTTTGTGGAGATTTTTTTTTTTTTTCGAAAAAATATTTTATTATTAATAATTTCAAATAATTGCAACTTGATAAACGACACTTCCTACTTTATCTAAGATCTTTGTTCTTATTTCAAGAAGATAAATTTCTATGTTAGTACTTGATATTGAATTTTTTTTTGATAAATCCCTAGTAATTTTGAATCTATAAAACAATAAAATCGATCATTTTAAATATTTCTAAAATATATATATATTTATATACACACACAATATTTAAATAATTTTTATTGCCTTCCGGTGTGGCATTAACGGGTTCAGGAAGATTTTCAAAATCTAAAAGATGACTTGTATAGATTGCCATAGAATGTATTGCCGTCATTTTGTTTGGTTCATAAGTTGGAAACTTTTTCTTTGATTCCTCGATAGCTTTAACCTGTTTGTAAAATCCTGATCTCGAATTTTTATAATCGAGCGTATACTTTTGCAAAATCCTATATAATTTTTTAGCACTTGGTCGTTTTTGGGGTTTAGCGTTTTAAGCACCTGTCTACCATGTCTATAAGTAGCTGAGGAATTTCACATCTGATTTTGGGACGAAGTCCTTGACAAATGAGCGTTGCCAAGTTAAAATCATGTGGAACATCGTAACATGTGAAAACCTACATCATGATGATTCCAAAAGAATATATATCTGATGCTTGAGTGTAATCCTTGTCTTTTAGAACTTCGGGTGCCACGTATGGAGGCACACCAAAAATTTTCGAACCTTGAACCCCTATCGGTCTGCATAATCTGAAACTTGTAATGTAATAACTAGACAGTGATGTGCAGACAATGTTCCCGGAATGTAAATCTTTATGGATTAGTCCTTCTTTGTGAATCAAAGCGAGCCCATAAGCAATACAACGCAAAATATTTAATTTATCTGCCCAATCCGATACATTAAAATATTTATTTAACATTTTTAAAGACTTTTCTCATTCGCATATTGCATGACAATCATGTAATCGTTTTTTTCTGGATCTTTGGTTATGTCATAAATTTCGATTACTCATTTACCTTGAAATTTGAGTTGGTTTCAACCTGAAAGATCTATATATCACTTAAGGTAACAAATTGGACTGTTAAATTATAATTACAATGCAATTGTGATAATAATCACTAAATTTTGGACCCTGAAATTTTTAATAATATCAATGTTCACTTTGTCTGGTTTTGCCCCATATTAATATGATGTTAATTAGTTTGATCTACATTAGTCCATTGTATGATGCAGGACACCTAGTCCCTACAACTTTCTGCGCCACAGCGACAGATTTGAGAAAAAATTCACAATCAAAAATGCAATAAAATTTTTACAGCCACGTGTTTTAAAATAGATTTGTCACGTTGCATTCTCTTTATTGATATCACGTGATAAAGGATCTGCAACATAGATTTCAAAATTTTCAATTCTTCCAATTCGTTCATTTTTTAATATTAAAAAAATTTGTGTGTAACACGTCACTTTGTGGGATTAACATAGTAAATTTGTTAAACTTGTGCAACTTTATGGCTTAATTCCTCCACAACAACATGGCATCTCAACAAAATGAAAATGTCATTTTGTAGAAAAAGGTCTTAGCTTCAAAATGACATCTTGTTTTTTAGGTCACACATTTCCATTTTCGGAGGAGTTAAAGGATTTGCAAGACTAATAAAAGTTGTAGGGACTAGGTGTCCTGCACTATACACCCCAGTAACCTATCTATAGTTTCCGGGGTCCTGCTACCCCCTAGAAATTTTAAGATGTGCGACAACATAACTATAAGCAGAAATTTTATTTATAAAAAGATGTTATTTTGTACTTGGATTGATAATAATAAATAGTTTGTGCACGTAAACTTTATTCAAAAAATAATTTCAAAAAGGTTCTTTGCCATTAATAATAAAATACTTGCACCTAGCATTCTTCAAGAAATCATTGAAATAATAAAAATACTTTATAATGTATGTATTATTTTTATTATATTGAAATAAAAGAAACCAAGCATATTGAAATTTTTATTTGGGCAGATTGAATCAATAAATCAGTTAGATTAATTAGTTAGTTTGCAATGGAAAATAATTATTTTTTGTTTAACTGACTGAATGAACGAATGTTACTTAAAATCGTCACTGTCCAATGACATTAATAATCTTTTTTTTTTTCAACAGGTCTTCATATGATCCATATGTACCTAAGGAGGGCGCTGCTGGTGGACCACCTTCAAAAACTGCAGAAATTCAAAAAAAAATCGACGAGACAGTAGAAGTTATGCGTGATAACCTTAAATCCGTTGCCGTAAGAGGAGAGAGATTAGACACTTTACAAGATAAAACCGGTAAAGAAATTATGTTGGAGAATAAAGAAAAACTTTAAATAATTTAAATAATTAGTAATATCTCCTCACTATCTTTTTTAAATAGAAAATTTGTCAGTATCAGCACAAGGATTTCGTCGTGGGGCAAATAAAGTACGAAAACAAATGTGGTGGAAAGATATGAAAATGAGAATTATTATCGCTGTTACCATAATCATTTTATTATTGATTATTATTTGTAAGTAATATCAATTTTTATATAATATTGGAAATATATATTATAATAAGAAGCATACCAATTAATTAATCAAAATTTTTTTGTAGTACCAATTGTTCTCAATAAAAAATAATTCTAACTCCAACTCTAACTCTAATTCTAATTATAATTTCTCTAATCCAGAAAATTTATCAAATGATAACAGTAAGAAATATGTTCCATTATACGTTTATGATGGTTGGTATCATAAACCTCCTAAAGTGGCGATAAACCTTTTACTGCAAGAAAAATTTGGACCTACACAATTAAAAAATTCAATTGAAAATTATTATTTTAAAAAAAGTTATCAGGAAGCATTAAGATTATCGTTAGAATATATTGATTTTGTAGAAAAATCAAACAATCACAATTTAGCTAATGATGGTAGTAGTAATAGCAATGTTTATAATAATCCCAATAGATTAACTAGTACGCGTGAAATGTTAGAAATAGCTTCTCAATGTGCTTTAAAATTGGGAGATATTGAATTGGCTGTAAAATGTGCTGATAAACTGGTCAGTATTAGTTGGTTAATAGATGATGGATGATGATGATGATGATATATATATATTAATTTGACTTTATTATGGGTTTTTTTAATTGAAAGGTTTCAAATGAACCTGGACATATAAACCTTAAAGGTATGATTTATTCTAAAGGTGGAAGATTTGCAGGTAATTAATTAATTAATAGGTAGGTAGTAACCAATTAATTAATTAATTAATAATCTATCAAATTACTGATTCGATATTATTATCATCATAATTCTAGATTCGATCAAATGGTTTGTTAAATATCAGAAAATTCGTAAAAATGATTATATTGTGTGGAAAGAAATTGGTAAAACATTCATCAATCATTCTGAAAATAAAACTGTTACCGATAGTAATAATAGTAATAGTAATAGTATAATATATCAACAGTTTGCATTGATATGCTTGAAACATTCTTATAATATAATGGTAAAATCTAATTGGCAACATCATATAGATTATTTAGAAATCAGATATTTGGCTGAAAAGAAAGAAATTGAAGATTTAATAAATAATTTAGATAAAAGAATTTTACTAAATGCAGTGAACGCAGTGAATATAGTAGAATTAACTGATTGGATAAATAATTTAAAGAATCTAGAAGAAAAAGAAGACCATTCATCAAATAACCTGGATATTGGATCGGATTTTATTAGCAGTGAATTATTTGAATGGATATTAGATGAATGTAATAATAGTAATAATAGTGATTGTAATAATGATAATGATTTAATTGATAATAACTTTAAAAGCTTTAAAGATTTATAAAAAACAAAAATTAAAAAGTTAATTTACATTTTATTGTTTACTGTTATGATTTATTATTATTGTCATTACTTTGTTCTATTTTTGGTTTTCGAAGTTCGAATGAATGTTTTTTATTAAAATAATCAACCTAATAATAATGAATATGTATCAATATATATATTTATAATATTATATTCCTTTTTCCTTGAGCATAAAATTTTCCGCACCATCATTTACTCTTACCCAACTTGCAATACACTTATCTTCGTAAGCTCCTTTTATCTTCCAGCATCCATTCTTTTTTACTAAACTTTTTATTGATTCATCATTATTTACCGTCGTTGGATCAATTTCTCCAAGACATTTAAAATATTCATCTCTTAATTTCCAACATAATTCTCTATCTGATCGAACTGGTGGTTGTGACATTTTTATTTTTTTTTAAAAAAAAATTTTATCAGATACCCAGGATCGTCATTAGTGATTCCATAATAAATGACTGTTAATCGTAATACATAATAAATTCAAATTCAACAAAATGTGTGGAAGATACGTGCTTGCCAAGGTAAAAATTATATAAATTATATTTTTAATAATAACAATAATAACAATAATTATGATGATGATCTAGGAGTCAAGTTCATTACAAGGTTTTCTTGAGAAGAAATTTAATTCAAATATTACAAATTGGGTTGATAAAGAAACTTATTGTCCATCGTAAATATTCAGATTTTTGATTTTTATAATACTCTGATTTCTTGAAAACTTATTCCTTTCTCTTACTCTTTCTCTCCCCTCTTCTCTCATCTAAAGTTACAACGTGGCACCAGGACAATATCAACCGCTTATAAGAGCTGTTAATAATAATGAAATAATTATGCAAAATATGGTAAAGATAATTGAAAAATATGCAAACAACAAAAAAACAAACATTAATTAATCAATTATTGAATTTAGAAATGGGGATTGGTTCCATTTTGGACAAAGACATCCCCGGATTATCCAAATATCATTAATTGTCGTGATGACTCATTACTTGATGGTGGTAAATCAATGTTTACATCGATGAAGAATTCTAAACGTTGTGTAATAATAGCTGAAGGGTAAATAATAATTTCAATGATAAGGATTTTCTTGAGAAAAAAATAAAATAAAATTGCTCAATTTTTAGATTCTATGAATGGCTTAAAAAAGGAAATAAAAGATTGCCATATTATACCAAAAGAATAGATGGTGAATTAATGTTATTTGCCGGACTTTATGATTGCGTAACATTCGAGTCATCGGAAGAAAAAGGAGAAACAGGAAAAGAAGAGTTATACACTTTTACAATAATTACAACAAAATCATCAAAGCAATTATCATTTCTTCATGATCGTATGCCAGTAATTTTAAATAATGAAAAGTCATTAGTTGATTGGTTGGATGCAGATAAAAAATGGTCACCGGATTTAGCAATTATTCTTAAACCTTATGAAGATGGATTAGAAATGTAAGTGTTTGATCATTGGTGGATTGTGTGTTATTGGAAGACAGACGCCTTTGCCTAATATTTATTTTTGTAAATTTTATATTTAATTTAATCTATTTGGATAATATTTATTTTTTGTAAAAAGTTATCCTGTATCACAAGATGTTGGCAAAGTAGTAAATAACTCGCCTGAACTAATCGTACCAATCAATTCACCACAATCAAAAACAAATATTGCAAATTATTTCACTAAAAAAGAAGTTGGATGTAGTAGCAAAACAGAAGATGGCAGTGGTGAAACAGAAGTTGAGTTAATAGTTGGGAGTATAGCTGGTAAAGAATTATCTTCATCTTCATCTTCAAAATTGAAATCAGAAACTTCAAATAGACGAGATCTCGATAATAGTGAAGATGGAAAAGATAAATCAAATGAAACATTATCAATAACTCCAAAAAAATTTAAAACGTCATTACCACCTTCATCATCGTTGTCATCATCATCGATATCTTTGCCGAGAAAAAGAAAACAAAATCATCAGGCTGAAAATTCTAGTAATAAAATCACACGATTTTTTCAAAAATCAGAATCATAGTTATAGTATCAATTTCACAAATGCATATTTTTATAATTATTTATCATAGTAATAGAGAATGTAACATTATATATCATATATTATTATCAATTAAATTAATTATAAAGTTGATTATTACTTGGGCAAAAGTTATTTTTTTATTTTTTAAATTTGAAAGAAAAAATTACATTTTTATTAATTTTTAAAAAACTAAAATCAATTGATTTAACAATGCCATCTACCAATGAAAACTTTGTATTCTCTCCATTTTTCAGGAGCATGTTTAGGAATAATAATAAATTTATAAACTTTAGCACCACATTTACCAACAATTCTTGGTATAACAATCAATTTATAAATTTTAGCGTGTCGACATTTTTCTTTTGGAATCACGATCAACTTGTAAGCTTTGTAAACACCTTTCTTTTTTGGAATAACCAAAACTTTATATTTACGAGGTCCTTCAAAAGTTTTCTTGCCATCATGAAGTCCAAAATAATCATCGGATGTTTGAACGATACGATTTAATTCGGCGTTAAGTTCCGTTGGTTCCAATGAGGCAGATTCAATAGAATCCAAAGATGAGACTTTCTCGTTGTAAGCTTGACATTGTGTTTCATCGTGAATGGTAGTATCGTCGGTATCATCGATAGGAATTGAAAGGACTAAATTAATTGACAATAGGACCAAAATAAAGAACATTATTAAACGTGACATTATTTTTTTTTTTCAATAATAATAAGTTTTGATTATTTTATTATTATTATTTGTTTGGATATAGAAACAAATTTTCGACGAAGAAAATTCAGATTCTATTTATAATATCAAAAAATCATTTTAACTCGTGTTTTTTATTTAGATTTACTCTTTTCTTTACATATAATTTTGATTTACTTTTTTTTTTTTTTTTTTTTTCACGCAAAGAAAGAAAAATAATGTCGATATTGATGATAGAATTTTATAAACTTTAGATCAATCATTAAGTTTCTTTTATTGTTATTATAGGATGGGTAAGTGAATTGGGAGCGGGAACGAGAAGGATGGAAAAAATTTGTAAAAGTAGGTTGATTGATTTCATTTTTTTCCTTCCCAAAGATAATCTCGATAAAAAAAACCCGTTGATTAATTGGAATGTTTTTACTGGGTAGACAAAGATAAATAGATAATGATAATGTGCATTTTTGTAAATTTGATTAACTTCGTCAAAAATTTTGGTTTGTGCTCTAATTCGTTTATGCATCTATCACTATGAAGGAGTTGTACGCTCAGTGAATCTCGATTTTGACTCAATATCAAGAAATTTTATCCGCTAAATCGAAATATCCGTAAAAACGAGTTAATAATAAAATCATGTGACATCAGTTATATAATAATAATGTAATAATAAAAATCTGCCAAATCCGTTTAAATCAAAGATAAAATAATAATAATAATAATAATAACTAAAAAAATTCTGTTCCGAAATTTTATCCGTTAAATCGAAATCCGCTAAATCGAGTTTCACTGTGTATATTAATATGAAGACAAATCCACCCATCCGTCCTTAATTGGATAAAAGCCCCAGAATTTACTCGTCAAATAATTTTTATGTCATTCAAAGTACCAAAGCTACAACAAATAAAGGCTGCACAGTTGAAAAAAGAAGCCATCGATTTTTTTTTTGCACAGAATTTCTTGGCATTTATAATATATTTAGTAATGATAGACTAGCCAATATATATAGTATTAAAATCGTAAATCTTTGTTAGAATAGAAAAAAACAGAAAAGGAAAAAAAAAAAAGAAAATTCTGAATCAATCAGGTCATAGAAAAAAAATAAATAATGAAAGAAAACCATAAATAAATAATTTTGAGGAAACAGTGCAAGAACTAGCGTCAAAAGGCAATATAAATTATCAAAACGTGAAACAAAAATAATCAAAAACATGAAACAAAAATAATATAAAATATATAAAAAATAAATAATATTTATGAAAGATAATATTAACTTATATAAACTTCTATCGAACATTTACTATTTGTAATATTTTTATATGGTGAGTCTAAATCTTAAAAGGTTGGTGGCGTTGCTTATCTAGGTTTATACATCTGTGTAACTGTCTGTATTTATAAAATTTATAAAACCCACCATTTTCTATTTATAAAATCATCATTTTTTTTTCTTTATTTTTTTCTTCCAAGACAAGAACTAATTGTTAAAGAACAACAAAGGACGATTTGATTATTCACCAAATCACAAGAAAATTAATATAATATAACTATATATTAATAATAATAATAACAATAATATAAAAAATGATGATAAAATATTTGTTACTTTTTTTTATAATAAATTGTATACTTTTAACAAATAATTATATATTACTTGCTAAAGCACAAGAGCACTCATCAGAACCACAAGCTACGGCCTCAAAAAATGAACCAGCAACAGTAACAGCAGACGTACCAACAGAATCAGGGACACCAACATCATCGAATAAAGAAATCATAGCAAGTTTACCTCAAGCAAAATTACATTGTTCGGCTGACGAAGATAGTCCTTGTGCAAAGGCAAATTCTACATTGCTTTTCGGATGCAATGGAATATTAAAGACTCCTGATCAATATATTATTAATGAAAATACTTTTAATGGAACTTATGAACCTCAAAGTAAGTTTCTCTCTTTCTTCCCCACCACTGAAGAAATTAATCAGTCAATGACTGATGGATGATAAGCAATTTCAAATTTAATAATTATTTATTAATTGATTAGCGAGTACGTTGGCAAAGTGTATGTGTAATCAAGAATTTTATGATCAATTGAGTGGTTGCATTGAATGTTTTAAGAACTATTCAAAAGTACATTTCGAAGTTGCTCCAGTTACGAGGTTTAAAATTCTTTGTGCAGACCGTTTCTCAACTGAATTTACCGAGTCTCCACCGTAAGCATATAACGTAAATTAAAAAAAATTTTTTTTTTGAAATTAACTAATTAATCGCACGATTTTTTTTTTCTGTAGTGAGACAATTAAATCAAATAAAACTAAATATGTTATTGGGATAAGTGTAGCAGTATTGCTATTAATAATCTTGGGAATAATAATATATCTATGTATTGTAAAACGAAGAAAAAATAAAAATAAAAATAAGAGAGATTCGATGAAATCCTTAAAATTGGTAGATAGCAATACCGTTAATACACCATTAATGAAGAGTTTTGCTAATAAGAATAGATCAGAACTTGATGTATATTACCCACCACCAACAAGTTTAGAAAATGTCAGTCATCATTATCCACCACCAAATTCACAGCAAACACACCCCCCATCCGATACTCCAATATCACCAGTATCACAACAACAGCCACCGTCACCACTTCCAACATCATCATCAGATTATCAACAACAACAAACTTATTATCCAACATCGTCAAATCAGCCCGTAAGTAACATACAAATCCCAACTCAATCAGCGTCAGGGGAAATTCCTTACTATCCACCACCTGCAAATCCTTCCGATTTGTCACCATACCCCGGACCTCAAAATAATAATCCACCTGGTAGTTATTATGGTAACCAATATTGAGAGGAGGAGGGGGAGAGAAAAGTGAGTGCGAGTTATGAAGAGATATTTTATAAATAAATGTATATTATTATTATATTATTATATGATATTTTTACGATTAGATATATAATTAATTTTATTTGTATTTTTTATTTTTATAATTATTTTTATTGTAATTTTTTAAGAAACAAATAATAAAAAAATAATATTAATAAATTTTCCGTTCGATCCTTAATTACTTGAATTTCTTTCGTCCTTTTATCTATCATATTGATAATAATATTTGACATAGTACCAATTTGACTCTTTCTACCAATTAACATATAGGACGCATATTAAGGGTTCTGATCTAGGCTGAACTTGTTTATTATTGTCAAGATTTCAAAATCTTTGTTCTCGTGCTTGACGTTCTTGTCACAGGACGAGAACAAGTACCCCATTTATTACGTATTGCTTGATAATCTGGAAATGTAGAATAAGAAAAGAAAGGGGATTCTTTGAACTTTTTTTTTTCACTATTATATAGAGAAAATTACTTGAAAAGTTGGCCGAGTAATGTCGTTAATAAAAGAGAACAATATTAATATACAGGACTTGAAACTTGTTCCGGAAAGAAACCGGTTGTATTCAATTTTAATATTATAATATAATTATTAGTGGACACCTGTTGCGGAAGAAATCAAAAACAGTTTTCCAAATGTTGAATACATATGATGCCTTTTTCAATCTAATGAAAGCAAAAATAGAAATTGTTTGTCGATTGATACTTTAGATAAATTGTTACTATTACGAATTTCATTCAGTAAAAATTTGGTTATAAAACTGTACATCATTATAACCAAATATAATTTTGAATTTCAATAAATTAAAATCTGGCTGCAACCGGATTTTTCAAAACGAACCGGAAAAACCGGTTACTTAAAGTACAATTTCAAGCCCTATTCTTATACAATATAATATTATTAATATAATAAAAAGGAGATTAAGATAAAATTATTAATTAAAAGGAAGGGATTATTATGATTGTTGTTGTTATTAAAAGATTTTTCGTTTATCAATTGTACGTAGATATATATTTTTTCTTCATGATAACAATAGTAGGGATAACGTCAGTGATTCACCTTTGGATATCCTAAAGGGATTGTGTGCAGATGTGGTCTGGATAATGAGGAGCGTTGCTGGAACGTTTAAAGTCAAGGTTGGGCAAGAGAGAGGTGGGATCTTGTGGAGGGGTTAGAAAGAGAGAAGGAGTTGGAGTTAAAATAGTGAATTAATTAAATCTGAGTTGAAATCGTTGATTGCAACGGTTTCAGGCAACAAAAGCACAAAGTCTACTCGCTAGAGTGTAAATTTAGTAAAGCAAGGGTAACACAAATATGACTATTGCGTGGGTTCGGGCAGTTGTCAGGTAGTAATAATGTATTGAAAAATTAGGATCGGAAGAGTTGGTTGTGAGTTTGAGGGAGAAAATCCCAAGAATGTTTACATAAAAGGTCGTTGAGAAGGATGGTGGCAGTTGCATCAAAAATGTTTTCGAGAAAGGAGAATTGGTTGGTTTGTTTAAAGGGAAAGCTTGAAAAGTTAGGAAATCAATGACGGGCAAAAGGAATAGTTAGAAAATAACAGTAATGTCTAATAATATATCATAGATTGGAGAGACGAAGTATTTTCTTCCAGTTCCAAGAAATAAAGGATCGCAATGTTATTACTGTTCCGGATATGGACGCTTAGCAACAAATTGTTCGTCTAGAAATACTACAATAACAAGCCCAACAAGCCAATACCTTAAATTCATTGGAGTTGTTTGGTTGTCGGCCAAGATTAACAGGGAAATTATCCGCATAGGTAGAAAATGTATCTTATTCTGATGTTGGTGCAGCCATCTATATAATCAATCAACAGCTTCAAAATACTAAATCATAAAATTTTATATCATTTTAAAAAAAATTAACCGACAAATTTTATTGCTCATGACTCAAAGCTTCAAAACTTATCAGCTAGTTCTTTCTTAAATTAAAAATTGGCCGAGCCTTAGCATTTTGAAAATTCCAAATTTTGTTATATACATATACATACAATAAAGAGTAAATTTCGTGTAACAAGTTTTTTTCCATAGAATTTTTTGTATTATTTATATAATAAATAATAATAATAATAATAATAATAATAAATAAAAGTCCCTTATGACATTAAATGAAAAACATTTCCAAATTTTGTCATGCATTTCAAAGTATGGTAATAGTAACACGAAAATTATTAAGAAAAAAAAACCATCCTTTTTAGATGAATTGACTCCCTACGTATTTTAAAGCTGAATTTAAATGGTGGAGAGTTTTTAAAAACAAACATGAATCACATGATATTTCAAATTTAACTTTAGAGTATAGATGATCCGCACTGTATTCGCATTCGGATTTATAATGATTTAATTTAACCTTGTAATAATTAATGAAATAACAACACTGATTATATTTTTGGCGTATTCAGTTTTTTTTTCAAAGATAATAACAACAATAAATTACATAATCTACTTTTTAAAATAATTACATTATTGTTAAAATGATATAGGAAGGAATCTACTTTTGAATAATGTATTAAATTTGTTTCGTACGACAAAATTTAGAATCATTTGAATATATATTTAACATGCATACATATACACATATGCACACATAAATAGTAGGGAAAAATCTTTTTGTGCCTGAAACCTTTAAAGGGGGGATTTAATTAATTGAAAAAAAAAAATAAAAAATAATATCAATTGCATTGGTTTTGTTGATAAAATTATTCAAATTTTGTAAAACAACCCTGCCATACTATTTATATTATATTATTTTATATTTTATTATTGTGTGCGTTGTGTGTGATCAAGGATCAATTACCAGTCATTTGTAATAATTGTAATAATTACAAATTAGTTAAGTTTACGTCACAATTATGCTTCTCCATGAAAAGTTACTCTAATTAATAAACTCGATTTGTTTTTTTATATACGGTTTTATATTTGTTTATTTGTTTTTGTTTTATCAAACTTTTCACAACATATTAAAAAAACCATTCATATAAATAATTAATAATTAGCTTTTTTTTAAAAATCTTATTTTCGTTACGTTAAAACTTCTCTTCCTCTCTCTTTTAAAAAATACTTTCTTTTCTTCCCTCCTCCAAACCATCTTTCAGGTTTTTTTTTGCAAAGAGAAATTAATTCCTTAGATTTATTCATTTATCTAAAAAATCACGATATTTATCATTTAAATGAATTATTCATTCATTTATTTATTTCAAAGAAAAAAAAAAGTACAATTTAAATCGTAATAACATTATTTTATTTTATTCGTATAATGATGAGTTCAACTGCTATAACTACCGCAATAATGTATGAAGAAGATGACAACTGTGAAAAATATGAAGACACACCGTTAGCGAAATGGATATCACGTATTTTCAAAGACCCAGGCAATTGTGAAGATTGTAACGAACCCGAACTACAACCGTTCTGGTGTCACAATTGTAACTCGGAACGATTCACTAGGAATTTCAACAGTTGGACTAGTGGACATCGAACACTTGATTATTTGATAAGCGAAGTGCAACTGGCAGCCGTTTATTTCTCACAAGTGATCGAATGGATTCCGTATGATCGATTTAGAAATGTCTCGTTTATCGGATCTGGTGGTTATGCCAATACTCATAAAGCTATTTGGCTTGATGGACCTATTTTGTCGTGGGATTCTAGAAAGAAACAATGGTATCGAGCCAAAAATTGTTCGGTTGCTTTAAAAGTTATGCATCATACCAGATCAAATATTAGTGATGATTTTATCAAAGAGGTAAACATTAATTTATTGTTATTCTTTTTTCAATTCTATCTCGAACCCTACGTCTAATTAATTATAATTAATTATACATATAGATATGGACACATACGTTATGCGGGATGGGAAAATTGATTAATATATATGGGTTCTCACAAGATCCAAAAACCAAAGATTATATACTTGTATTAGATTATGCAGATAATGGCAATATTCGTCAATTTTTACGTAGGCATAATAATAATCATAATAATGATAATTCGTCAAGATTAAAATTTATAATAAAGATTATGAAAGAAATTGCAGAAGCATTAGAACTTATTCATACGATTGGCACAACACATCGTAATTTACATCCTGGTAATATATTAATAAATAGCATTGGAAGTGCATATATAGCAGACTTAGGATCATCGATTCCACCGAACGAATCGTTACAGTCATCGTCATCATCATCATTATTATCTACAACAACCGCAGCAGCAACAGCAGCAGCGGTAGAAAAAAGGAAATTATATGGAGTCTTGCCATATGTTGCACCAGAAGTATTATGTGGCAAACAGCACACCAGCAAATCGGATATTTATAGTTACGGAATGGTAATGTGGGAATTACTAACCCATCAACCACCATTTAATAAATATGGACATAATTTAGAATTGGCGATATCGATTTGTCGAGGGCTTAGGCCTGCAAGTTATAAAACCAATGATTTGCCAGATTCGATTATCAAATTGATGAACAATTGTTGGGATAATAATTCAAAGAAACGACCGGATGCACAAGAAATAATTAGACGATTAAAAGATATCCAGTATGAGTTGTGGGGCGAAGAGCATTATGCTAATTTGGAAAATGAACAACGACATTATTCTTCTTCTGAAGGAGCAAGTAATAGCGGTGGCGGTGGCGGAGTTAATCATCCCGAAGCTATTTATACTAGTCGCACATTACCAATCATTACCCCAAAATTAATGAATAAATCTTGGGTTTAACTCAATTTTTTTTTAAAAAAGCACAACATGTACTAATAATAATATTCTATATCTATAATAAATGTGTTAATTGTAATTTTATATTGAAAATTTCACTTTTTTTTTTTTTCGAAAAAAGAAATTCCTAAAGTAAATAAATACAGTTTGAATTTTTTTTTTTTTTTTTTGGATAAAATAATAAATGAATAATTTACAATGAAATTCAGTCAGCTATAACTAATTTCTACGATACTTTTATTTCTATTAAAAGTAATATCTAATTTTTTTATCTTCTGGTGAATATTGATTTAAGTCTTTTAATTTCACTGGAAGTACAAAATACAGATGTGACTATTATACCAATCATACTACCAATTACATCATTTGGTTGTATGTGCGGATTAAAATCTTCTCCAGTCAGTGCAACTTTTAA